CTGGCCTCTTTTCTCTTGCGCAGTGCAAGGTTGCCACGAATACCAGTCAGATACTTTTTCGCTAGGAGAACGAGCTCCCTGTCCTCAGTACTATGCTTTATAGCATCCAGCATCCTGGCGACTTGTGCGTCAGACTTCAGATGAGGACATGTGCGCGAATAACCATAGTGGGCAAGACCACAGAGGGGACAATGCTCAACACCAGCCAACCTCAAGCGACAGGAACCAACTGGGTGAGCCTGCTTGCATGCAATACAAGTGGGTTGCTGAGTTTGGTTAGGTTCCGCACTGCCATCCATGGCCAGCGGCAAGTTGATGGGAGCAATTCTTTCGAATTCTCGAGCTGTGGCTTGCATTAGCGAAATGCGAATGACCTCAATTGAAGGAGAATCGAGCACTTACTTTTAGTCTTTTTGGGGATGATGGCCAGTTCATCACGGTCTAGCTCAGGGGGCAAGTCAGACTCGGAGTCAACGGCGTCTTCGACCTGGTACTCTCCGTCGCTGTCCGCTAGTCGCATTATATGATCATCGACGGGGGACGATTCCCTGGCAGTTTTGCCGTAATCAACATTGGTACGCTTCCTCTTTCCACGACCAAATGTCTCCGCTTTTCGCCTGGCTTCCTCGGCTGCAGCTTGTTCTCGCTCGCGCAGAATGTTGTCCCAGATGTCAGCATTGGGTACAGTCTGCTCAGTCTGCTCAGTCATCTCCTGGAGGCGATCCTCCAGATTCTGGTTATCGTTTGCCCACACCCGAGCAAAGCTGAATTGGGACTCCGGGTCACCTTCAACGGGCGCCTTAGCTTGTTCGGCTTGACTGCGATCAAGGAGCTTATCGACAGACTCAGAGTCATATCGTACATCGCCAGAGTCATCGTCATCAAACAAGGCTTGAGCTCCATGACGGAGCACAGACTCAAGATCTTGCCCGTCATCTTCTTCCGCCACCATGCGGTCAATAAGAACGTGGTCTAGGACCATCTTCTTCTTGCCTATTTGCATGATCTTCTCTTCGGCACTGCTCCGGGTCATAAGCTGGAAGACAAGAACCTTGTTCGTTTGCCCTATCCGATGAGCACGCGACAACGCCTGCATGTCTTGATGGGGGTTGAAATCCGGGTCCATAATGATCACAGTATCTGCAGTAGCCAGGTTGATCCCCACTCCACCAGACCGAGTCGAGAGAAGAAAGGCGAAGTAGGGCGAATCTTGTGCGTTGTAATCGTCGATCGTCTTCTGCTTCTCGAGCGAAGTCATTCTACCATCGAGGCGAAGATGTGGTAAACCCATTCCGTCGAGGAAATCCTCGATTATGTCGAGGTTTTCGAGGAACTGACTAAAAATGAGGACCCTATGGCCACGATCCTTGAGTTTCGGGAGCATCAATTCCAACAATTGAAGTTTACCAGCTGCATCCACCAAGTGCCGATGAGATTTCATCCTATCAGCAGTTCTCTCCTCGATGGCTCTGCTATAGACGAATGGATGACACAGACATTTGCGCAATTGCATGAGAATATTGTTCAGGTTATGTCTTTCGGCCTGCTTCAAAGCCTTGGCCCCATTGCGCTGAAAGATAGCCTTGATCAATTGAGGGTTTTTGGCAAGGATAGATTTGTATAGTTTCTTCTGTACCACAGACATCGAGACCGGAACAATAATCTGGGCAACTGGGGGAAGAAACGTGAGCACTTGCGCTTTTGTCCGTCGCAGGAAAAAAGGCCGTAGCATTTCATGCAGCTTTGTAATATTCTCCTGTGAAAGCGTGCCGTACTCTTGTTCGAGGTCAAAGGCCTTCTTTGACGGGTCGCAAAACTGAAGCAAGTTGAATAGTTCTCGGATGTTATTCTGGAGCGGAGTGCCGGTCAAAAGCAACTTGAACGGAAATCTGATCCGCGACAGTGCTTCATAAAGCTGGCTCTTGTCGTTCTTGAGCCGTTGGCCTTCGTCAACAATCAAGCCGGCCCAGGGAATCTTTGCCAGGAATCTGCGGGATGCATCATCAACCATCGTCTCATACGAAGTCACGACGACGTGGCATCGGAGAGTAGGATCGTCATCAGCATACATCTCATACTCTTTGGCAAGATTGCGAGAAAATGCAGACCCGTAGTATGTCACCACCCGCATTGAAGGAACCCATGACTTGATTTCCTTGCGCCAGTTGGGACAGGTGGAATTAGGCACCACCACTAGGAAAGGCCAGCATCTATGGTACTGAATCAGGGTAGCCATGAAGCCAATGACTTGTATTGTCTTTCCAAGACCCATCTCGTCGGCAAGAATAGCGTTTTGCTGTTTGAACCACATGTAGTAGAGCCAATTGACACCATCATGTTGGTAGTCCATCATCTCACCACCCGTCATAATGGTAGGCTGATGATCTTTGACTAGATCAGTTTGGAAGTTCTTCTTTCTCTTCTTGGCCAGATGTCTCCTCAAAGTTTCTTGGTTCGGCTGACGGACATACTCCCGTTTGACCCAGTCCGCAAAAGCAGCTTTGAAGTCCTCCCATCTCTCTGCATCACTCCGATCAGGAGGCGTATCCCAGACTACATCCTCATACGGAAGGCCTTTAAATTTGACATATACCTGAGACACATTGTCAATTCGCTCCAGGTCTGTTTCATAGGACCGCTGCTTGCTTTCTCCAGGCGGCGATGAGCTAGAATAACGGACGTCGAAGATGATATCGATGCGCAAGTAGTCCTCCGGGACAGCTTCTTCAATAGTCCTTTGCGGTGCGAGGTTCTTCTTAAGAAAGGCTCGACGCATGATATGGTTAACAAAGCCCCAGACCCAACTTCCAGGCATCCAGGTCGCGTTGCCGTAGGACTGATTCTTCCATTTGATAAGATACTCCCGCTCCGCTTCTTTCGCGGTTTTCGCCTCTGGATCGACTGGTCGCCAGGCAACTATAGCACCGACTTCTCCCGGTACTGAAGCACAGTCCTGGCAATGCCACGTAAGGTGAGCGACGTCAGATAGATGCTCGAAGTGGAAGGCTCGATGACAAGTAGTGCAACGGAATAGTAGATTAGCCACATTATTGACCCGCGACATATCGATGAAAGTTATAGGATCCTTCCCACCGTTCTGCTGCCGAGACTGTTGCTCCTGCTTCGGCGTTAGACGATCCCGCAGTGGCCTTGACATGTTCCCTTCGCGATTGCAGATAGCACAATGGCCCTGATGAGGAACAATTGGGTCTTTCGAATGAGCAACTCCCAGGCAATTGCGGCATTGAAGGACAAACAAGTCTTCGGTGACTTTAGTAACAAGATGGTCTCGGGCAGCCCGAGGACCCAAGCATGAATGGTGGAAACTGCTGGTACATCCCTGGCAGAATACGAGAGGCCCTTTCGCATAATCGTCTCCAATGACATGGCAACTCTTGCAAGCGCCGCGATGTCTTTCTCGAAAAGGATCATTTTCCGGCATCTTCTGAAACTTTTCTTTGGCACCGAAGTACTTTTCATGATGTTTCAGTGTGCCCTCATTCTCGGAAATTTCGTCCTCATTCCGTTCGCGCAGATTCCTCCGTAAAACCTTTCGAGTCCTTGTCGACTGACGTGTGCCTACTGGAGTACTACGGCGGCTGTCTTCTTCGTCCGATAGCAGGATCTCCGAGCGCGACTTACTCTTTCGAGCTCGTAACATGCGACGCCCCCTTGTTCTTGTACCAGATGATGCGATAATATCTTCACTGGAAGAATAACCTCCTCGTCGTGGGTGACCTATCTCGTCATCGCTACTCAAATCTCCGAAAAATGCTGTGAACCCAGTATTTATAGCCCGGGTAGATCGCTGAGTACTTCTCCTGGTCCGCTTTCTTGCGTCGGACAAGTCCGAATCTTCTTCCGATGTTTCGTGGGATTGAGATGAGGCTGATTCATTGGGACCGTATTGGAAGAAATTCGATAGAGCTTGCCGTCCATTTTTGAGAGTTTCAAGCTGCTCGGATGAGGCCTGAGAGATCGGACGGTTAGTTACACGATACGCGGGCAAAAAAGTTGCAAGCGCAACATACCTTTTGAATCTCGCCACTTTTCAACCTAACACGATACAGAAGCCCGCCCTCTGTCTCAGAAACCTCCTCACTGATGATGTAGAGAGCTTCAAAGTGTCCAGGTAGGAAGTCGCAGTCCTCAATAACACTGCTGGGGGCAAGTGGAACCTCAACGACAGGCCGCGGTAGCTGAAGCTCTGAAGGACTTTCTTGGATCAAATCGCGTTCTGGTGAATCTTGCTGAGGTGGGAAATCATCTTCAGATGCCTCAATCTCTGGCATTTCAGACTCTTTCAAGGCTCTTCCATCTTGAGGCGCTTCCGAAGTGCGAGCAGCAGGGCCGCTCTTGAACTTGGCAAGAAGCTCTCCAACAAGGCCGCCTTCGCTATCAGAGTTGTCCGACATGTGCTGGTTTGGTCTTTGGTTCTGAATTCCTGTTCCGTCAAGGATATGATATTTCAGGATTGAAGCATGAGCTGACAATGGCAATGGAAGTCCTATGTGGGCCTGTATAATCGGAAGAAGAGAGGTAGGTTGTGGTATTCGTTGAAATCAAATATTGAAGATGAGTTGACACCGGGGTAAGGTGACGCTGAGGCTGAAGGCTCTAGAAAGCGAGTCGAGACGGTTGACTTTTGTGCACAAAGAAAGCAAGAGAAATGTGCCGCTTCATCGTCGAGAAACTGTATAGCAGCTGCGTCTCTTCCTGAGACGGTGATATTAATTAATTCATGCGGACGCGTTCTATCGACGCGATTTGGAAAGGAATAAAGATGATGCGCCTATCTTATCAGGGACTTGGTTTTGGTTACGGTAAGTGGCGGGCGGTGAGTTTGATTGCTTTCTGCGGTACGGAGTAAACGGCTGGGACTCTCTCCTGTGGGGCTCTATCTACAGCTGCTCGTCTTGGATGATGATCAGTTTTAAGTGAATGATAAATAAGGGAAGAAGACTGCAGGGGATTGAAGATTCCACACTGACCCCCGCCTTGATCTACATGCCACAGACTCGAGGTGGGAAGTATGGAAAAGTAACATTATAGACTACAGTGGCATCTATTTGCCAACGCCCAAACCAGCATATATGAAACATGATGAACCAACGAATCCCATTCCCATCCACCGTCGAGACTTCCCAAACAGTCTACAGAAAAGTCATAAAAATCTTAGTCATTTGAGACCGAGACCGCGCACAAGCTAAGAGACATCACTTCTTTCGGCTCTTCGATTTCGAGGCGGCGTTGGACGAAACACTAGCAGCTCGCGACGTGGAGGCTGAGTTTGCTTTGCTGCCACCCTTGACAGCCTTCACCTGCTTGTTCTGCGAGGGGCGTCAGTAAGAACTATGCAGAAGCTATCAATAAGAGGTTATGACTTACAACTGCACCACCCTTGGTTTTCTTCTTTGCAGGGGCCTCTTCTTCATTCTCAACCTCCTCTTCGTCCCGATCACGGCCGCGACCTTTGCCACCTTCACCATTCGCCTTTCCATCTTCAGTAGTCTCGAACTCCTTAGCGACAGTATTCAATAGTGTGGTGCACCGACGCCCGATTTCAACAGGTGTCCGGCTGAGAAAGAACCAGTCGAAGCGGAAGAGGGGAGACTCGCGAATCTCGTCGCGGATTTTCTCATAAAGACCTTCGCCATCAACCCCATACTTGTCCAGCATGACCAGCAAGAATCGATCTTCTTCTTCCGTATAGACCTTCTTATTAGTAGTCGACACCGTGTAGTTGATTTTGAGCTGCTGAAGGGGCACGCGGTACATCTCCATCTTCTTGCGCAACATCTTACGCTGATGGTTCATCTTGCGAAGCTTTTCCTCCCCTTGATCGATGACGCGAAGATACTTAGGATAGTCTTGGATTTCGGTGTATCGTTCCCAGAATACTTGAGCGTACTCCTCGATTTCGTCCGGCTCCTTGCTATCCACCTCGGTAGCAATGCCGGCATAATCAGTGCGACCGAATTTAGCTGAGCCATTGACAAACTGCTGGAAATCACGGCGGTTCCAGGTAGAGAAGCCCTCTTCAGACATCTTTGCCTTTTGTGCCTGCTCCTCTTCCGTCAACGGCACGGCGTTGTCTATCTCTTGTTGCTCCAGATCACGCTCGGCTTCACGCTCACTGAGCTCTTCATCAGGACCGTCCGATAGAGGAACCTTATAGCCAATCTCTTTGTGGAAGTACGCCGTTTCCTTCTCCTGAAGCTCTTGAAGCCCCGGGGGGAAGAATTGCCAATCATGGACGGCGATTTGCTTGGGTGCGCGCGGAACCTTCGGTTTTGGATCAGCTGTTCTGCCACCGGTGGCCAAAGCCTGACGATAGTACTTGTCGATAGAGTAGAACTGCTCCTTTCGCTCGCGCTTGGCTGGGTTGATCCAGTTAATTCCAATGTCTTTCTTGCGATCGGCGAAATCTTGACCATTCCACTCGTATGCACTTTCCGAACTAAACTTCTGAAGGTCATCGATTCCAAGCTTTTCGTACTTCTTGTTGAGCTCCGCGGTTCTCTCTTCACCCTTGCGCAGGATAGCATCGATGTCATCTTCCGACAATTTGTTCTCCGTAGACAAAGACCCCGTTGCGCCTTTCTGGGTGAAAACGTTGGCAGCTCCATGCTGAATCATGCCAAGGAGCTCGTCTTTCGATGCAGCATTCTTGGTTTGCTGCTGGGCACGCCCTTGTTGAATAACGAGTTGATCCAACCGCAATTTCTGCGCAGCACGCTCTAGAACCTTTTCCTCAATGGCATTTTCTGTAATGAATCGGAATACAACAACCTGCTTGGTCTGACCGATACGATGAGCACGATCCATGGCCTGCAGATCCGCCTGGGGATTCCAATCACTGTCGTACAGAACCACAATGTCGGCGGTCGTCAGGTTGATTCCCAATCCACCTGCTCTGGTTGTAAGAAGGAAGATGAACTTGTCAGAGTCAGGCTTGTTGTACTCATCGATGGCGGCAATTCGATCCTCATGAGCGGTCGTACCGTCAATGCGGCAATACTTGTACTCTCGGAACACGCAGTAATCTTCCAGAATGTCGAGAACACGACTCATCTGGGAGAAAATGAGCACGCGACTGCCCTGCTTCTTCATGCGCGCCAGAACCTTATCAAGGATTACCATCTTTCCCGCATTGTCCACAAGATGCTCATCAGTTGTGTATGGAGGACCTGGCTCGGCGCCTTCGAAAAGGTATGGATGATTGCAACACTTGCGCAATTGCATGACAATATTTAGCAAACGGGTCTTCGATTCGCGCTTGCCGGCAGCACCATTGACCGCGTCGATGTCCTTCTCTAAGATTTTCTGGTACCATTTGACTTGCATCTCTGACATGGGTACGTATAGGTTAATTTCCTTCTTAGGAAGCAGGCTCTTCTCCACGTCGTTCTTGACACGGCGCAGCAGGAAAGGCCGCAAAACGCGGTGAAGTTGTTGCACCACAGTGTCCTGGTCAGCATCCTGACTGGAGAACCATTGATCAAAAGCCTCCGAATCACCAAAGACATCCGGTAGCAAGAAGTTCAAGAGAGCCCAGAGTTCGTGCAGGTTGTTCTGCAGAGGAGTACCAGTGATCAACAGACGATTCCTTGAATGGAAGACACGAATGATCTGTGCCAGTGAAGACTCTTCGTTCTTGATACGATGAGCCTCATCGATGATGATGTACTCCCAAGCAAACTTCTTCAAGTGACTCTTCTCGCGCAGAACCATTTCATAACTGGTGATACAAACGTCGAAATTCTCATCCAGAAGGCGCTCGTTGATCAAGCGATGCCGCTCTTCCTTGTCACCCTGCAATACCAGGACATTCACCTCAGGAGTCCACTTTCCAAACTCTCGCCTCCAATTGTCAAGTGTTGATTTCGGGACTGCGACAAGGTGTGGTCCAGTGATTCCGCAAACGTGTCGGAGGTAGCCAAGGAAAGAAATGGTCTGCAACGTTTTGCCCAAACCCATCTCATCCGCCAGAATACCAGAGATACCGTTTTCATGGAGGGAAACAAGCCAGTTCAGGCCGGCAATCTGATAGTCGCGCATCTCTCCCTTGATGAAGGGCGGGGATTCCCGGAAAACGGTGCCCGTTTCGCCGCCACTCCTTTCGTCTTTGAGAAGCTCGGCATCTTCTTCTTGTTCTGTTCTGCGACGTCTGTCGGCACTCGCACCACCAGAGCGAGCCGATCCCTTTTTCTTAGCTTTTGCTTCCTCCTCTTCATTTTGCCGGTCGATCTCCGCCATGATCTCTTTAATTCGTGGGTTGGGATTCGTTTCGATGAAATGACGGAATAGATCGGTGAGGCCGAGGAGGTAGCGAAAACGACGGATGGAATCATCTTCCTACAGTAACATACAATGAGTGGCCGCTAGCGCATGGATATGTAGCATATCCACCTACCATTGACTCGTCCAAGCGACCGTGCTTTTTACCCAGGATACTTTTTCTCATGTGAAAAGCTTCGGATCGTCGTCTGCGCCCATCCAGAGGCGGTGCGTCGCCTGCAACACTGCTCGCCGTGGTGTTGGGGTTCGTATCAGTATCCTATTGCGCGCCCGTTAGCCCATCTATGCGTGATAGCAGTGATCAACATCGGAGCTTTAGTACCGTGTAGTCGGGAGTGTCCTAAAAGTTCGAAAACGCCCTGATGGTTAGCGAAAGCATCCTTAGAGGATAAATGACATGATTTAACATGTATTGTTCATGGCATGAATGCGCGCGCTTACCGTCATTTGCGCGTCTGGTCTATCAACTGGCACCGACGTGATGGGCTCTGCAGTTGCATCTGTCATTGGGGTGTCTGCCTGTGACGGCGGGTCGGAAGTCGGAATGTGTGAAGGAGCCATGACTTTCCAAAGCGCACCTTGCGCAGGCAAGTTCAACTATATCGGGAGAAACGCGATCTGATAGTATACAATCGGACCAGTATGGAGCGAGAGAGAAAGACTGATGAGAGAAGATTGGCACTCCTCTGAGTGTGATATGATTGAGGACAAGCCTGGTCACACGATTTGTCTTTGAGATGGAGGACAAAGGTAGGGTGAAAAACAATTGTAGTGACGGAGGATGATGAAAGGACGAAAGAAGTACCGCCTCGCAGTCGCGCCGGGATGGCGAATGGAAATTCGCCGGCGAAGCGCGGCCCCTTGACGCGCTGATTGGCCGGGGAGACGCGCAAGCTCAAGGTGAGTAAGAAGTGAGTCAGCAGGGGAGGAAAAGAGGGGAAAACTCGGGACTCGGGAGGAGGAGGAGGAGGATGTACACTCAGGATAAGGCGCTTGCCCAGAAGAGCAGAGCGGAAAACAAGTTTCCCCGCTGTGGGTCACGTTACCCGGTCAGAAGCAAAGAAGGATCAGCTGCGCCAACATTCTCCCGATCGAATCATCCTTGAGTCAACATCGTGTGTCTACTTCACTCTCCCACTCCCTTTCTTTCCCCCTTATCTACATCGTCCTTACTTGTACTGTCACCCTTTGTGAACCACATCTCTGGAATATCTTGATATTGCCCGCGCCTCCTGACCCTTTCGAGTAATTGTCCGCTCCCCTGTTGGCAGCCAACGCACGGTTCAAGTCACCCCTCCTAGTGGCGGTTGTGACGACGTCGCCGTCTCTAAGACTTTGTCTCAAGTTTCCTGCAACGCTACTTCTTCTGCTGCAGTCCACTTCATTATGGACTCGATGAGATCTTTGAACACTTCGTTGCCGAAATCGACACCCCGCCCGCAGCCCCCTGAGCAGCTTCTTCAATCGTTCAAGGCGGCTGCCCTCTCAGTCACCAACCTCTACAAGAATGCCGTTTACGAACAAGCCCAGGCCAAGCAAGCAGGCTATCAAGAAGCAATTGAGGACCTATTGCACTTTTTAGATCGGGAAAACCTCGGGTTGGGTGATGGAGAGGGTTGGAAGGTTCGACAGTGGGCCACGGAACGGAGCGACGGCATCGGTGCCCATAGCGACGACGACGAGGTTGAGAAACAAACCAGAGGCACAACTTCTGCTGCAACTCGCAAGGCACAGCCCGAATCCGAATCGACACGACAAGCATCGAAGTCAGCATCTCCAGCGGTCGACGAGCCGAGCGCCCCGCCACCCCAGGCTTCATCACCCCCGTCCTCCCCACCGTCGTCCGAACCTAGTACCTTCGACAGACCTACGATCTTTACTTTCACTGCCGGACCAGCCTTCCCACCAGAGCAAGATATGGATATGCAAGCCTCGGATAGTTCAACACCCTTGTCTCAAGACGGCGCGCCCGTCAGCGTCTCAGTACTGCCTCGAAATGCCCGGCAGCAAACCCGTCATAACAACTTCTCACGACCTAACCCTCGATCATCCACTCGCGAGTCCTCCGTCGGACTTGGCTCGAAACGCAAGCTCGCAGTACCGGATTTTTTCGACTTGTCCGGCCTCGGGAATCGAGACCTGTTTGGCGGCGGCAAGCGAGGCCGCTTCACCTGAAAGAATATTGTATCGACGATTAGACGAAGTTCATATTCCTATGGTTACGCAGCGGTTATTAGTACATTGATCCATTTTTTTTTTGTTTATCCTGGTGCATTTGTGGGAGTATTGCATGCGGTCTTCAGGCCACGGTCATTTATCTTTCTTTCCGTTTTCACGCTCATCCTATCCTCCACTGTGTTTCCTTTCTTCACATCCACTTTTATCCACCTTTCATTTCTCTTCCTTTTTGATTCATAATCATCCAATCTATAGAGGTTAACAGGCTTTGGCGATACCCGGCGAGGCAGCTCGTGTCAATGCTAATCGTATAAACATTTCATGCACTCATTCCCAAGTGACCCTTCTCAATCATGGAGTAGTTTCGATCGTTCGAGCTAATATACACAACGCCCTGAGTGGAATATAAATCACAAACAAACTTCAAATTTGAGTATTAGTTGAAGGCCCTCCAGATGCCCATGCCGACCAGGGTTGCGGAAATAGTCGCAATGCCGAGACGTCGAGATCCCATCTTGTACTTGGTGGCGCTTTGCATAATTGTCTTCTCTTGCTTCCTCAGGTTGCTCATGCCCGTCCAGTAGCTGTAGACACCGAGGCCGATAAATGCGGCAGATCCTGTGTTCCTTGAGGCTTAACCACCGGGGCTTTCAAGCGAGTTGGGGCAGACGGAGAGAAAACTAAAACCAACCTGTAATGCGGCAGGATAGACAGTCATCGTAGGATTCTTCGGCGAGCATGCGCTTTGCATCCTTGGGCTGAACATCCCAGCGCTCAGTCTCATTCGAGGAGGAAGACATGTTGAGCGAGGGCGGGGAGGGGAAGTATGAAGTCCGAAAGAAAGATAACTTGGAACTGCTGTATACAAGCTCAATCCATCGAGCATGGAAATCCCCGAGACCGAGACGGGTAACTTATCAATCGGATTCATCCGATGGATAAGGCGGAGGTGGACGGCAGAACGCGGGCGATTTGGAGGCGGATGGCCTCATTTCCCTTCCCCGACCTTCACGCCCGGACGGACCATGACCGCACACTCCCATTACTCAGCCCCGTCGAGTTAGGTCGCCATCATGAGCGGCCAAGTCGATGCGCTTTATATTTACGATGAGTACACGTCTGTTTCTCTCCACTTCTTCTCCCCCCATCTACTGACGTCTGTCCTCCAGCAATCCGATCGTCGAACAGGTCTACCGCTCCCGTCCGCCCTCCGCACCAGTAATTCGCTCTCTCTTTCTCGCCCATGCGGCCCCTCGCCCCTCAGTGCTGTACCTGCCCGGTGCGATTCCACCGGTGACCGTCTTCTCCATCGTCCAGTCGAATCTCACCTTCCTCGCAGTCTCCGAGGTTGACTCGGAATCGCTGCTGGTGCTAGAGTTTCTACATCGAGTCGTCGATGTCCTCGAGGAGTTTGTTGGGGCGCCATTGCTCTCAACCAAGCTACAGGCCAACTACGATGTGGTCGCACAGCTACTTTACGAGATGTGCGATGGCGGCATCGTGTGCAACACCGAGCCCAATATGTTGCAGGAGGTGGTGGAAATGCCAGGATGGATGGGGAAACTCTTGGGCGGGGTTGGGTTGGCTGGGTGAGTAACTATACCTTGTCGATGACCCCGCCACTTACGCATACGGAGCAGCTCTGAGTCAAGTATACTAACTTCTGTGGTCCTGTCAAAACAGTTCATCCACGCCAATCCTCGGCCAGCCCAACGCATTGAAACAATCTTTGTCGTCCGCCGCCGCAGCACAAGGTCCCGCGATACCTTGGCGGAAATCCGGTGTTCGTCATACCTCGAACGAGATATATGTTGACATAATCGAGTCCTTGTCGGTCACTATCGCCCCGTCCGGTCGTTTGCTATCAGCTTTGGCCTCCGGCACCATCGCCTTTACTGCGAAGGTCTCCGGTGTCCCAGATCTCCTTCTCTCCCTAACGGCGCCCGGCGGCCAGAAAGCCTTGGGGCAGAAGCTGGAGCTTCCTGTTTTCCACCCCTGTGTGCGATTAGCGCGATGGCGGGAACGGCCGGGGGAGCTCAGTTTTGTTCCACCCGACGGACGTTTCATTCTCGCCGGGTATGAGGTAGATCTCCTACCGCTTGACCCCAACCTCGACCAACCTCCCACCCACATGGAGAAGCTTTTCCTGCCGGCTATCGTGGATGTTCGCAAGTCTCTCGGTCCAACAGGCGCCGAGTTCGAAGTGCGCCTGATCCTGAACACCAACTTTCCGGGCTACACATCCGCCAACCGGCCCGGAGTTGGGCGCAGTGGGTCGGGGTCATCGACCCCTTCGTTCCTGGGAGGTGGCGGGAACTCCACGGCGCCTGCCTTGGAAGAGGTCGTCGTTACAGTCCCCATTCCCAAGTCGGTCCGGAATATCACAGAGATGCAAGCCAGCCGCGGAGAGGCCTTGTACTCTCCGGGGAGCGAGGTGCTCGAATGGCGAGTCCCGACCAAAGACGCCGGTACGGTTTCCGGCACCGCAACCCTGCGGTGTAGCGTGGTTGGTCATTACGATGAGGACGATGCCGAAGACGAGCTGGAAGATGCGGACGCCAACCTTCTCCAAGGCTACTATGACCCAACCACGGCATACCAGGACCCGCAAACGGGCACCACAAAACGGAAGACCAAGAAAAAGAAGAAGAAGAAGGTCGTCAAGAAATCCTCTCGCGCAGCCGCGGCGGCTGCAGCAGACGCCGAAGCATCGGCTTCTCCTGCCGCCGACCCCAACAACCTCCTGGATGCCGAACAACCCCAACCCTACCCCCCCTCCGACCCCTCCCAGCCGTCAACTCCAGCCCTTCCAGCTCCCTCACTACCATCAACACTCCTCCCCGAAGCCGAAGGCGAAACACAACATACAACCCCAGAAACGGGCGCCGAACCCGAACCCGAACCCCACAACGTCCGTCCAGAAAAGCCCCGCCACAACTCCTCTCCCAAACCCTCCAAAGACCGCCAGCCAGCCAACATATTCCACACCGCCCCCCGCAAGACCAAAACCCAACTCAATGCCATCCTCATGCCCACCTCCGCCTCGGTCTCCTTCTCCGTGCGCGGCTGGCTCCCCTCCGGTCTCAAAGTCGACAGTCTCAACATCGACCCGCGGAAAAGCCGCGGGCTCGGCGAAGGCGTCAAACCATACAAGGGGGTGAAGTACCTCTGCGTGAGCCAAAAGGGCGTGGAGAGGAGGTGTTAGCGGGTCTCAGGCTTCGGGGTTTAGTGAAAACCCGGAGCCAGACGTCATCCCCCTCCCTCCCTCCTCTCACTGTGGGTGCACATCACACATCACGCACCTTCCAGACATCTCCCAACATAACCTTATCTATATCTCAAAACATATCTAGCCTGTGACAACCACGTTACTGTATATGGTCGGGTGGCTCATCTATCCCCTCACAATTTTCTTTTTGCTTAACCCTGTTACATCTCAAGTCTTTCCCGACATCTCTTTCCAATTTCTGGCTCATAGACCATCTGCCTCAAAACCTAGGTATTATTTGTGCAACTCTACGGGTTTTTGCTTCTCTTGACGACCACCACTACTAACTATCTTGACACGAGAAGGGAGATGTGACGTGACATGCATGCAATGATGATAAATAGACCTTCAAGTCCACTGGAACCAAAAAGCCGAAATTTAGCCCTTATTCTTCAGTAGATGCGTGACTCATAAGAAAACGATCCATAAAGTAGACGCCTACATTCTGAACAAGACGCCGGGAATAATCATGATCGTACTTCAAATTTGTCTCACCGGCTAGCTAGCCTGCTAGCTACAGAGGTAGGTGACCCCCACCACCGACTTAAAGAACACAGCCCCCAGCCCCCCAAAATGCCGTCGGGTACAAATTATAGTATACATAATCATAAACATAGGACCCAACCCTCCCACCCTTTAAAAGCACATACCAAAGCACAAACGCGCCAGATTGAAAATCCAAAGAAATTCGAATACCAGAAAAGAGTCATCCGAGAAATCAATGCACCGAACCAAGACTTATTCAGTAAATCAAACATCTGATTGTTACTTTGGCAATCATCGGAGGGATTTATTCACAGCTTGGAACCTCGGCGGTCGAGGAGCTGGAGTGCGAGGTATGCCACTAGAGATAGTATATGGTAAGTATATATGGTTTGGTGGATTTTCTGTGTCTTTTTGTGGTTCAAAAGTGTCCAGAGTTGTGGATAAAGGATTAAAGATTAAACAATAGATGTCAGAGGGGGTTAAGGCAGGCATTAGATCATGTGACACCGGTTAAAGAGGGCATGCGGAAAACCACCAGGGCGAGAGGGTTAGGATCGAACATGTCAGGTCAATGTACGCAGGCCGATAGTATCGGTTCGATTCCGATGCAAACTCGGGAGTTTACGAGTCGACCCTTATTCTGCCGATGGAGATGCGGACAGTAAGAAGACTGCGTGCGAACCGGGATGGTGTGCATGGGGCAACAAATCCAAAATGATAACACTAACAAGTGGGAAAGAGTAGTAAGGAGAATATCACTCACCCGCAGCGACAATGGTGGCACGAGTAACGCCGGACTTGACAGATCCACCGCCGAGAGTGAAGAAATAGCGGAGCCAGCCGAGTCGGAGCTTCTGTCCGTTGCGATCAAAGTCCGGCGTCAGGCTACCAGCCTTGATGAAGAATTCCTGCTTCTTGCCGAAGGGTGGGTAGCGGACGGCCAGCGCGGATTCGATCCAGCCCGGGCTGGTGGTGATGGTGCGGCGGTGTACGAAGACGTCGAAGCTGGCCTTGCCACGGTAGGAGCCGCTGCCACTCTCGCCCACACCGCCGAATTCGAGAGTGGGGATGTGCAGCGCGGCGTCGTTGATGGAGACACCTCCGGAGCGGGTCTGGGAGAGAACTATCCGAAAGAGAGGTTAACTTGTGTGACTGGGTAATCCCCGGGAGAGAAAGGAAGAAGATCACATACTCTTCTCGGCTTCGGCCTTGGTGCCGAATGGGTAGAGAGCCAAAGGCGTAGACTGCACGCCGTTGGCGATCTCGATCGCCTCGTCGATGCTATCGACGGGGAGAATGGTCAACAGGGGACCGAAGCTCTCCTCGGCGACCAGGGAGTCATCGACCGAGTCGATCTGGATGAGCGTGGGCTCGATGAAGCGCTCCTTCTCATCCATCGTTCCTCCAAGAAGGATCTTGCCCTTGGTGTTATCGATCATCCTCTTGATTCGCTGGAACGAAGCATCATCGATGATGCGACTGAGGTCGGGGGAGGTCTTGGCTCCCTGCGGAAAGAACTCGCTGTACGCCTTCTTAAACTCATCCACCACCGCGGGCAGGATGGGTCTCTCCACCAGCATATAATTCTGCGACGTACAGATCTGTCCGGCATTTGTGACCTTTCCCCACAGCATGCGACGCGCCACCAGCTTGGGATCAGCATTCTTAGAAATGATCGCGGGGTTGCGACCGCCCAGCTCCAGCACGACGGGGGTCATATGGGGCGCAGCTGCCTTGCAGATGATTCGGCCAACATTCGCACTCCCGGTGAAGAAGATCTTATCCCACCGCTCCGCAAGGAGCGCCTGAGTCTCCGGGACTCCTCCCTGCACCACCGTGTAAGCCTCTGGATCGAGCGCCGCCTCGATGATCCGCTGGATCACCGATGCGCTGTGGGAGGACTTTTCACTAGGCTTGACCACCACAGTGCAACCGGCGGCGATAGCACCAATCACCGGACCCAGAGTCAACTGGAACGGGTAGTTGAACGGACTATAATCCATCCACAATTAGCTTATTCCGAACTTCCTCTCCCCCGGCAGACCAAGATAGTGAGCGGCAGCAGGCAAGGCTAGGCAAGGCAGGCCCACATACCCAATAACCAAAACACAGCCCAAAGGATCCTTCCGAATCTTCGGGCTCACGAATTTGAAAGTGATATCGATATTCTCCGCCTTCTGATCCTTGACCCATTTCTGCAGGTTGCGACACACGAAAACGATGTCGTTCAGGACCCAGTTGGTGTCGCCGAGCTCGGTCTCGAAATCCGGTCGGTTGAGGTCCCGTCGGAGCGCCTCGCGCATTTCCTCCAGATGATCTTTCACACTATTGCCAACGGGCAAGGATTAGCATTACGGCTTCCATAGTCCATACCTCTTTTGCTTCTGCTCCGGGGAAAATGAAGGGAATAAAACTCACGCCCAGTATAGCTTGCGGAGTTGGACCAGCCGGTACTCCACATCGCGGGTCTTGTGTGCATTGAAAGTCTGGCGCACCGTCGAGACACGGGACTGAATCTCCTCGATCGGAGTATTCTCGAAAGGAGGGATCTCTATTGCGCCCATTGTTGCGATTGTTGAATAGCTAAATCAGGGAAAGCTTGGGAGGAGGAGAGGAGGGACGGGGAGAGGGATGGAGGGGACGGAGGGGTAGAAAAGGCCGGCGGAGGTGAACCAAGTAGAAATAGAAGTAGGGGGGCGATCATCCCGGGCTTAAATTACGAGTAGGAGGAGTGAAAATGATCGTCATGGTGTGGCAGACCATGGAAGAGACCGGATGGAGGAATTGCGCCGACAAGAGAGCCCGGGACTCACCAGATCCATAGAACAGGAAAGGATGGATGGAGTCGTGTTGATGAAAGCACATGCGGGCACAAAACTAAGCCGGGTTCGGGGCATTTTCCCTCAGGCTCCTCCTCTCTTTCCTTCCTCTCCATCCACTCCCCCGCTTCTGAACGGACCGCGGCTGGTCGGCAGCCCGTCTCTAATCATGTTCACTTGTGAAATGAACACCTCGGTGGATTCTGTCAACTGCTTAGCTTCGGCCAAAAGTCGAACAAAGTAACAGTCTACCACAGTCTAACTACACTAATGTTTAGGCTAATGTTTAGCCTGCTTTTCAGTGTTCACAGTGCACTGACTGAGACCACGCTTCATCCCCTCCTGATTTCTTTCCTGCACAGCTTCAGCAATGGCCATTGGCGGGTTGCATCGGCCTGGTTCCTGCATGGACTGTTAGAGAAGTTATAAAAAGACACGTCCGGAAATGAAGTGATACACTGATACGAAAGTCAGAACTTTAAAGGGAAAAAACAGAAGCCCTACTCTCTGTTGCACGGACCTGACAACCACAGCTATGGCCCACTTAATACTCCCTCCGCCCCTTTCATCGCTCACAGACATTAAACAGAAAAACGCTGGCTTGAATTCAACTCATCACTCATCATCGTACTCAGTACGACTGGCTATCAACTCCGACATTTAAACAAGCAAGAAAAGAGCACCAAGCAAACCCTCAAGGTCCTCCACCAAATCTGAGCAAGCTCCCTTCTGCTGCGTCCCATGACCGCACAACAACCCAAGAAACAACAACTATTTAAAGAACTATAGCAAACCAATTATACTCTATCCCCACCGCTTTTCAATTCCATCTAAAAAGTCTTCAAGGTCCAAAAAGCCGAGACCGCAGAACGAAAGGACGTTTCCAAAGTTCGACCCCAAAATCGTCGGGAAATATAAAAGAATTTCAAAATCTCGTAACGAGGCAGTGACAAATCACCCAAGACATGTCAAGTGAATGCGCTTACAAGATTTCATCTTGCACGCTGACAGCCTTGTTGTACGTCTCGTAGGGGGTGATGGCTCCAAGAGCACGTCGTTGATGGGCGTTGAGGATCTCCAATCCGTAAACGTAGCTGGCATTCACCCAACCAAAGCTAATGCAAATAAGTTAGTGACCGGCGCGCAAGGGGAAAAATAGCTTCGTGCCATGCAACTCGGGAATTCTTACCCTTCACGGGGAGCCCCCTTGAAATCCACGCCTTGGTTGCCGTACTCGGCATCCACCCGATGTGGGTCAATGGGTCGAGTGACATCGTATTTCTCGACCACCACCCCGTTGAAATCCACAAAGGCCTTGGTGATCATATACAGCCACTTGTAGGTCAGCCGTTCGGCTTCATCTTGGTAACCGTACCGGATCAGTCCGGTCCAAGCAAGCATCTGCTGAGGCGCCCAGCCATAGGGGTAGTCCCACTGCCGGTTGGGACGATCCAAACCGACGACGCCCCGCGACTCCTCGGTTCCTGACACCAGGCCACCATACGCTTCGAATCGGTGGAGAGCCTTGACCATTTGAGACGCTTGCTGCGGCGTCGCGAGACCGGCCCACATCGCCCAGTAGGTGGTGGCACTCTCGTAGTTCGTTCGTTCTTGCTTGGCAGTGTCATAATCGAAGTACATGCCTTTCTCCTCGTCCCAAAGATAGGTGTCCATGCGCATCTTTCTGCGTCGGGCGCGACGGTCCCACACAGACGAGGATTCAAAGGCGATGTCCTTGGTGGCCTCCGTCCGGAACTCAGGAGGGATCTCCAGCTTATCTTTGAAGTAGGTGCGAATTACCCGCGCAATATCCACTTCATACTTGTACAAGAGCGAGTTAAGATCAACCGTGGCTAGGTTAGCGCAGACCTTCTCCAAACGGTAGCTGGTATCATGTCCAGACTCCCGCACGGCTCGGTCATGCAAGAAATACTCGTCAAGCTCGGGCTCCAGGACTTTGCGCTCGTTGTAGGCCTGGACAAACTCGTCGAAAGACATCCCGTGCTTTTCAGCATACGGAGTAAGGATATGATAGAAGTGAGTCGGCTCCGTCTCCGGAGGGACACCACTGCCTTGAGGACGATACCTCGAAAGACCCGACACCGGGTCAAACCGCGGCTCCGCAGTCCAGACGCTGTAATACTCCTTGATGGCAGCAAGAGTCGCATTTCGAAGGAAGTCCATAGCGTCGGGCTCCAGCTTGATCCGCTCGTACACACGCAGTGCCATATCAGTCAAGAATGGCGGCTGAGAGCGCATCAAGTAGTAGGAGCGGTTAGCATTCAGAATCTTGGCGTAGTGCTTGATGCAAAAACAGAAGTTGATCACCATGGCCTTGGCCAAGTCAACTCTGTCGCTGACCAGTAAACCGAGCGAGATCATGTAACTATCCCAGCCGTACAGTTCGTTGAATCTTCCTCCCGGCACTACGAACGGAACTCCGGTGTATTCGGTCTTCTGGGTAGCCTCGTCAACCGTCTTGTCCATCGCCAAGGCCAGCATTCCAGGTTTGCTGTTGAGGTCCTTCACGTAATCGGGTGTGATGTTGGCGTCCAACATCTGGACATCCAGGCGAAGCTCGGGGTAATCTTCTGCGATCTTCTTGTAGTACTCATACTGCTCAGGAGCCCCCACAGGAATGTAGATCCGAGGCCTAGGGTCATCGGTCCAATCCTTGGGGTCCCTACCCGCTTCGGCGATGTTCGAGCCGTCAATTCGCCGAGTCAAGGCGGTCCAGAATGAGTTCTTGATAAGGCGGGAAAGGCGGGAGACCGGGTTCTCGCTCAGACGAGCCTCGTCCAGAACGATAGTCTTCCGACCGTAGTCCTTGGCGATTGTGAGTTCCTGGAGAAGATTGGATAGCATGTAGGTGCCTCGCAAGTCGAATCTGTTGTATCCCGATGATGCAGCTGTTCCTACGGAGAAGACCTTCGTCCATGTCAGCTTTCATTCGAACGTAGCCCACAACGAATCCGCTCCTACCTTTGGGCCGACATCTTCGATGGTGATCTGCATGTTCTGATCCGTGTCTTCCCGTTTCAGGAGATCGTGCAGTGTTTTGTCGACATCGATAAGGAATTTGCGGTCGTTTGACGGGGTCTCATCTGTGGCAAGGATGCGTCAGTCAAAGGTACCTTGGTGCAGCCAAGAAATGCTTCTTTCTCGAACGTACCGTGACTGGCTCTCCTCGCTGGAAAACCGCCTCCCAGGAACTCTTGAATGTCTTCCCGGTTGAAGGACTTCAAAGTCTGTGGTTGAAAATCGAGAAATGGTCAGCCACGCTTGTTGTGGGCTTATCTGACTCAGTCCGTTGTACATACCGATGAGAATGCTCGTTTGCGATCCCTGATGCGCGCTTTGCCATCGTCGCCTCCGTAGTAGACGTCAGGATCTGAAAAAGGGTCAAGCGACTGGTTCCGGCGGTGTTGGGCGCTTGAAGAGCTCATCATCGAAGGGGGGGATGTAAGATGGAGGGGAGAAAAAGTTGCTCAGTGACAGGTGAGGCGAAAGAAAATACTAGGGCAAAAGAGGATCGGAGCAGGGGTTGTTGTTGGTTTGCCGGCTAAAGGGGGTAGCACAAGGATGCCAATAATTGAGAACGCTAGGCTCGTTCGTGGCGCTGGGAACGACAGCTGGTTCGTATTGAAAGATACCAGCTGGGATCACGATCACAAGGAATGATTCCTATAAGTGGAAAGTAGAAGCAGGGCCAAAGGTAGATGTACTTCCAGGGTCTGCTGAAGTGCAGCTAAACAAAGAGGATGTCCCCGGGAGAAGAGGAATAATATTTTTGGCCACGAGTCGAAGTTTTGGCGTCCGCGGAATCTCGGGGTACGTCACACTCGGGGGTGGGTTCTTTCAGAGTAATTGAGGGTTATCGCGTGGGGGAAAAAAGGAGCGGTGTGCGCTCGAACAACAAAGCTCAAACAGAATGTTGTTGTGAAAAATAAAAGTCGAAAAAAGGGGGAGGGGTAGAAAAGACTTTCTCGGGCTGGTCTGAATTCGTATCTTCTTTTTTAAACAACAGGGTTCAATGAGATGTCCCAAGAAAGAAGTGTGACGGGCGATGTGTGAAAAGGCGAGAATGAGGTTCCCTTGGAGACTATGACGCCACGAACCGATGATGTCGCCTGCTCCACTCAATAGCCATTTCTTGTTGGTATTTTGCCCGCTGACTTCGGTTCCAATGATGATAAGCCAGCTCTGTACCGACCGGTGCGAAATCTCCCGAAGCCTCGAGATTGAAATGGTTCAGTTACTATCTGGACGCTGTGCCTGCTCACGCTTTCTCTCTGCGTCCTTGACGTGGCGTTGGATAGCGGTGCGATAAGAGAGCAATCGGCGGCGGGGAACCACAAGTGTGTCTCTGATAATCGAGGCACAGTACAGTAAGGTGAGGTGGACGCGTTTCACCCACCACCTGTACACAAAAAGAGAGCCATAAAAGAGCACATGACAGAGCCACAGAGAAGCAAGGAAGCCCAAAAGAAGTAATTGAATCAAGGTTGAAGACCAATTCCACCGTTTGGGTACGATGCTTGCTTGTTATCTTGTCTTTTTCCCTCCTCCTGCATCATGCACTGTATTTGTTTTATCGATTTGGTCCATGCACATTGCTGCGGTCGTACCAGATCCGACTTAGCATTGGATTTAGCGTTTCTCAATCGAATTGATCACGGGGGAAGTAAGATCGACATGATCGAGATGCTAAGACAATCCATGGTTTGGTAGCACGGTCGAATCATCATCACTCCGTTTTGTTACACACGGAGGTTGAGTCCTGCTGTCCTCGAACTGCGGGGGGAGCGTCGTTGGGTAGCTCAAACATTGTTGTTAAGCAAGTGGCTGGCAGCCCTTGATGAATACCTAACGCAATTCCGAAAGCCATGCACGATGCAGCGACAATTGTTAAGGATCATTGAATGCCATGGCAGGGCTTCGGTCCCGGCATAAGGTTGAGAAAGACTACGCGGTCTCGGCAACGCCCAAAAGTATTCGCAATGCCGGCGTGCAGAGTCACAATCTGCCAAGGACAGAAATTATTGTATCACTTGCCGAAGTTGAGCTGTTCTGGCCCCGGGTTTCCAACCCAATATTCATGGTAGTAACTCTGCTGCAGAGTCTCGGGTCGTTAGTGTCTAGACTATCGTGCTCGGCGCGCTTACTATCAGCTGTCCATGACTTTATGTACCGGCCAGGGACCGACCTGCCTCTTACCCAGGACTTTTTCAAGCTGGGTGAAGGTTGGAGTAAGACGTTATCCTTTGTCAGGATTCTGTAATCCGTGAGGTTCTGTTCTCAGGGATCAGACATCTCAATGTCATTGTGGAGACATTCGCTCATTGCTGTTTATGGAAGGATGGAGGCAGAGCTGAGCGGAGTGAGATCGTCCCTTCCGGCCGTAAGTCGCGATAAACCCCTAGAATCATTCTCGAAACATTGTACGCATGTACGAAGTACATCTGGCCGTAAACATTCCGACCGATGACAGGCAATATGATATGTTGCCGATGAGTAACATGCTTTGCCTTACGACCAAGTACCGGTAGATTACATGCATACAGAAGATCAAGATAATCAATGTGATACGTAACTATGGCTCCAATTTCTGCAGTGACATATCAGTAACTTGGTCAGCTGATGTTGAGTTTTATTAGCCTCAACAATGTGGCGCCTCAACACATACTATTCCCTACAATGCTCAAAAATGACACGTCTCCCCGTACTGGTATGGGTCATGCTAGTTCATCAGGTGGTACAGGCTCGCAAACTACGAACTCAGAGTGAGTTTCACCGGTAAGTCGGAGCCTTGATTCACCTTCATGATTATTACTGAAATGACCATAGGCTAATGTCTCGAATGCTTCGTAGCGCTGACAGCACTGATTACAGCCTAGCAGCAACAGAGCTACCACCGTCAACAGTGATAGTTGCTCCGTTCACGTAGGCACCAGCGCGGCTCCCCAGGAACAGACAAGCCCCTGCCACATCTTCCGGACTCCCGATACGACCCAATGGGATATTTCCCTCGATGGTCTCACGATGCGCCTCCAAGGTGGCGGCCATCATTTTACTCTGGAAAGGACCACAAGCCAGAGTATTCGATCTGCCAGAAAAGACGACCACATTAGCTCAACTCTCATCGGCAACCAGGCAGCGAGGGCCGCAACATACGTGATATTCCTCCTTCCAAGATGATTAGCCAGGACTCGGCTCAAATGATGCAAACCAGCTTTACTAGCGCTGTAAGCAAAGGTCTCCAGCGCCGGGACCCTCAACCCATCGATACTGCCAATGTTGATGACCCGAGCCGGGTCGCCCGGCGCAGCAGCCTTCTCGAGCAAGGGCGTGAGAAGCTTGGTGAGGTCGAACACCCTGTGGAGGTTGAGAGTGAGGACCCGTGTCCAGGCGGAAGATGGGTATTCATCGTATGGGGCACCCCAGTTCGATCCCGAGTTGTTGACGAGAATGTGAAGCTCTGGTAACAATCAGGTAAGCGCTTCATAACTCTTGCCACCCCACTTCAACTGCCAGCCCTCTCGTGAGGGCGACCCAATGAAAAGACGCAGCACTCACTACTCTCGCGCTTGGCCAGCTCTTCTGCCAATTTCTTGAGATCTTCCTCTTGGTAAAAGTTGGCGGGAATAGCATAGGCCTTGCCCTTGCCGAGCGCATTGAGCTCGCTGGCGGCCTTCTCGCAGGCCTTCGCATCGCGCGAGGAGATATAGACGGTGGCACCGTTCGCTACATATCCCTCGGAGATCATGCGGCCAATGCCTTTGGCTCCGCCAGTGACCAGCACCACTTTGCCCTGATAGCTTGCTTAGCGTTCATGATACTCAACTGGAAAAAGGGGGTGTCTGCCGCTAGATTTTGCGTAATAATGCGACTAACCTTCACATCGAAGAGTTTCTGGACGTCCATGATGGGCTCACTTTCGAGTCTTCAGGGTCTCTATTTATAGATGATAGAGCTATAGATGTAGAGTACCTGCTGAAGAGATAGTTCACGTTAAAGCGTCGAACTCGCGAGCGGTGCCAGATGAAGCTCCTTATACAATGCGGAGAGAAGATGCCGGGGTAAACTAACCGACGGCCGAGCGATTACTGAGCGGCTTGGCACAAGATGCCGAGGCAATCCGGACTGAGAAAGAACAAGGGCACAGTTGAGAGAGTGAATCACTGTTTCTCTGGGTTCGGGTTACATCCTCATATCTTGAGGAAGTATACCGACTTCTCAAAGGATCATTTTAAGAATCCGTGGTAGTCTTTGTACCTACAGTGATGCCTGGTGCCTGAGGTTGTAAGCTCTGGTCTAGAGATATATATGCCTGAGGCGTCGATCTCTAGACCGGAAGGACGGAGGACCGCAAAAAGTGAGCGCTGCAGTGGCGGGGCAATTCCACCCTGCGTGTTTGTTATCCAGCAAAAGTCAAGTCCAGCAGCCCACCTTTGGGACCTATACCCTCCATTTATCCACGTTCTTCTTGCATATTTTCCTTGGAGTATTTGAACCAATACATATCCAATTGGGGATTTTTTTTCTTTTTTTTCATCCTAATATCTCCTTGTATACCACAGCAACCAGTACAGCCAACCCTGCAGCCATGGAGGAGCTGCAAGCCCGACACCGCAAGGAACAGAAAGACCTGCAAGCGAAGATCACCCAGAAGAAAAAGTCCGCCACCAAGAAAACGCGCAAAGGGATCAACGATGAATGCGATCGCCTGCAGCGGGAGCTCACGGAGCGACAACAGGCACAGATTGCGGAGTTGAGCGGCGAGCCCGTGGACGGTGGTCTCGAGGACCTCAGCCTCAACGACAGCAGGTCCGACGATGATGGTGACGAAGTGACGAGCAAAGACGACGTCAACAATTCTGCAGATGATCCCTCGGCCTCCAGAACCACAACGACGACGACGTCGACTCCCCCAAGCAGCCACAGCAGTAGCACCACCGCCACCACCACGGCGGACACCCCGCAGCCCTCCGGCGGCCCGCGCTCCAAGAAACCGAACCGTCAAAAGGCCCGTCTCGCGCGTCGTGCCGCGGAGCAAGCGGCCCAGTCGGCGATCGCAGCGGAGGAGGCCGCGAACCAGACCGACCACCGGGGCAACGAGAAGGAGGTGATGGATGCCGTGTTCAAGCGCTTGCAGCTGAAGGAGATCGAGATCAACCCGGACGGACATTGTCTGTACTCCGCGATTGCGAGTCAATTGGACGAGATGGGTCTGGGGCTCAGACCGGATCCCAAGAGGATGGTTCTCCAGGCTCCCACCCAGTCGCGGGTGGAAACGGTCACTTTCCCGAAGCACGATGGGTACCGAGCGGTCCGGGCGGTGGCCGCGGACTTCATTGCGGAACATAAGGATGACTTCGAGGCGTTCATGGAGGAGCCCCTGGATCAGTACACCAGGAAGATCAAGCTGACTGCCGAGTGGGGTGGACAGCTCGAACTGCAGGCGCTGGCGAGGGCATACGGCGTCGAGATCAATGTTATACAAGGCGACGGGAGGATCGAGAAGATAGAGCCGGGTGATGTTGACGGACTTAATGACGAAGCGAGGAGTAAACGGGTCATCTGGCTGGCATACTACAGACATACATATGGGCTTGGGGAGCACTACAATGCACTATCAAAGCAGTCCTAGAGAGAGAGAGAGAGAGAGAGAGAGAGAGAGAAGCAGCAGAAGCGAGAGTCAATTTGAGCGAATCAGACCGGTGGATCCATCAGGGGATTGACTGATTCATGATGATGTGTATCCGCCTCCAGTTCCAGCCACAAGCGCACTACCGATGGCGCCATATGGAGACTCGATCTTGAACCACCCCGTTGCTGTCCTTACCACCTTCATGTGTCCGAGCAGGCTGGAAGTACGCCACGCGCTCGAGACCATGCTCGCTTGGCTCGCGAAGAGGATCCATCTTGCATCGGCCCTGATCGTCATACGGGATTTGTTCACCCGGGTGACTCAAATGCTCCATGTAGGCCTCCGATGAGACTCCCCAAGGGGGTCCTTGCTGCGTCGGGTCCTTGTGCCTTGGAAACTCTAAGCAAATTAGATTGCCGCGCGGCGAAGGCGCCAGAAGCTGGGTGTGTCGCAAAGCCCAACTTGGTCGCATCGTTGGATTCAGTGCGCAGAAGAACTGTAGATACGTGTAAGCCCAGATTCTGGCTATCATGGACGAAGACACGAGAAACTTAAAACAGGGATCAAGCCTAGTAGGCTTACCGTATAATCGTATATCAAGTCAAAGCATTCAAGCGGTAGTTGTAGACTCTCCAACCAGTCGTTCTTGAAAAAGTCACCTTGCACGAAAGCTATCTTCCCTCGACCTATTCCAGCATCTCGGACCGGATACTTGTCTCCATTCTGAGCCGCCTCGCTCTCACAGATCTTGACTGCAGCATCGCTATACTCCAGTCCATAGGCATCGTAGCCAAAGCTGGCAAGAAGAAGCACATCCACTCCTCTGCCACAGCCGGGAACCAGTGCTTTCTTTCTGTAGGTTGCTCCCTGTGCATCCGTGGCAATTGGACCTCCGACGGTCGCGCGCTGCTGAATGAGGGTATCTTCCAATGCGGGATTAGGAATACCCTTGTCCCAAGGCAAATTTTCGTTCTTATCCCAGAGTTCAGCCCAGCCGTCAACATAGTCATCCCCTTGATACTTGGCCAACGTGTCCCTGACTTTCCGTTGCATGGTGGCCTTGTCCGAATCCATCGTCTTGCTTGTGATTTCGCAGACTGTGCGAAGATAAAATGGCGTTTCGAGATATGGCGGTGGTAGATTCAATGGCACCCTTCTAGATTTATGACGATATTAGCCCGTTGCGTGCATGCATGCTCCAAAGCACAGGCAGGCAGGATGTTCGATCAAGTATCGGTTCGAACTGCTGGTGGGCGTGGGGCAACTTGGGCCGGCGGATCCGAGTCACAGTATCCACAAGAGTCAACCGGGCTGGATGCAGTCTGAACAATCGGCATACTCACCCCAGACGTCTCTGTCAATGATTTTAAGCTTAAATGTCTTGCAAACGTGGTGGAATCGAGCTCAAACTCCAGAGGCTGACCAATGTACCATTGTTATTGCTCGAGAGCTTGCTCTCATCATCGGAGCAGCAACTCCTATGAGATTTCTATTATAGTGAGCTGCACCTAGATTCAAGTGAGTACAGTTAAGAGCCTCATGGCGTTCGTCGTATGCTCAATGATGAAGGGAAGAACTGAATCTCTTCTGGCAACCATAGCCTGGAGCAGCAATGATGACCACTCACAAGACTGGCAACTGGTTACAAGGTATGTATTGCACAGTTCTACCGAGAGACTCGGATAAGAAACCAGCTCCCCACTCTCCAAGTCAAGTGAGCATTGACCTCGGCAAGTTTCTTGTTTGGATGGAGGGCGGCAATGCCCGCTCATCAAGCCTTCCGACTGGAGCCCTCGGATGGAACGGCATCGGCCCTTGGCTTGCCTGGCCCTACTAGATTAGGACTTGATTTGCAGAATGGAGGGGATGGTTAGCTCACTGTTGCTTACATACTCGTACTGTAGACTTTGTTGGACTCATTCGGAATCCCAGTGATGAAGCACACAATCGGCAAATCGATAACGATGGATCCCTTGGAAAGAAGAAAGGAAAGTAAAGTGGGGGGAAGAGGGAGGAGGGTCGGTCCACGCGGGCGACGACGGCGAAGGCCATCGCCTGCCTGTTTGGGACCCATGCGAGATATGGAGTGAGTGCACAACAATTGGAAGAGACTAACCGACCAACACCTCCTCCTCCTCCTCCTCCTCTAAAGTCTTTCAGGATTTTCCCCGTTGTTCCCAAAACTATTTCCGCACAATATTCCTTTTGCTACTTCTCGTCTTTTCTTATCGGCCATGCATATTTAAGACAAAAACCTGCTCTTACGCAGCTCGACAATGGCCAGCGAGCTTCAACATATTAGCCAGGCATCATTTCAACTCAAGTTCTAGTCACACTATCCCCACTGAAGGCCGCATGCGTGATTCTCTTCGCTTGCTCGGCATTTTCGTCTCTGTTATCTTCCATCCTGGCATTAGAACATAATTCTCGCCCTGCTGCCTTTCATTAAGATCCAGGGAAGAATCAGACAAGCCAGTATAAATAGCTTCGCTGCTCGCTAAGCCGTACATCGCTACTCGCATCTCTGAGAAGTCGTGCTCGGATGTCAATATACCACCCATTTCCGCTCTAAATATCTCTATGGGTAATGGCGGCAGGCAAGAGCATTCACAAAGACGAGGTCGAAAGCCCTGCGGTTACCAGCGAGACTCACCGCGACGTCGTATCGTCCAAAAATATCATCGAGACACACATTGACGATAAGCCTGCGCCTCAGAAAGCCGACAGCTCTCCGGTGATAGAAAGTAAAGATGAGGAAGACCGTGCTTCTTCGACTCACACTTCTGACGAAGAGCAAGAGGAGCCAGTTGTGGTACCCCGACTGGAGCGTAGGGGGCTCTTTGGGCAGCTTACGCTGCTGGCGGAGGTGGTAGACCCCAAAGTCTATCCTCGAAAGACGAAATGGTTCATCACATTCATAGTTGCAGTGGCCGGGGCTGCAGCTCCCATGGGCAGCTCGATCTTCTTCCGTGAGTCTATTCATGTCCCCTAACACCAAGCCCATCCTAACCCGTGCCTCCACTGGGCAAAGCCTCCTTGTCTCAGGTGTCAAAAGAACTAGGTACCTCGACTACCGTCACGAACCTGTCAATCTCATTATACATGCTTAGCATGTCTATCTTTCCACTGTGGTGGTCTTCGTTTAGTGAAAGGCTTGGACGACGAACAATATATCTTGTCTCTTTCACTCTTTTCGTCATATTCAACTCATTGTGTGCCATCTCTAGCTCAATCGCTATGCTCATTGTCTTGCGACTTCTGAGTGGAGGTGCTTCTGCCTCGGTTCAGGCAGTTGGCGCGGGAACTATTGCCGATCTTTGGGAGCCAAGGGAAAGAGGGCGTGCCATGAACATCTTCTATCTGGGGCCACTGTGCGGGCCATTGATAGCTCCCATTGTTGGTGGGGCTCTAGCTGAGCGATGGGGGTGGAGAAGTACCTTGTGGTTTTTGGCAGTTTGGGGAGCTATCACTGTCATCCTCATCTTTCTTGCACTTCCTGAAACCCTGGCCGTCTCTAGTCAGGTAGGACAACTCAAGGAAGAACAAACAGAACCGATAGATCGTCAATTGAGTCGTGTCTCATCTCGGCAAGTCATTCACGTTACAACCAAATGGCTCAAGTATCTCAAGATGGTACTCTTGGATCCTCTGAAAATTATTCTCTATCTGCGGTATCCCCCGGTTCTGCTCACGGTCTACTATGCCAGCATCACGTTCGGCTCTCTATATGTACTCAACGTTAGCGTTGAACACACGTTCGGAGGTAGCCCGTACAATTTCACTACAATCATCGTCGGCTTGCTGTATATTCCAAACTCACTGGGTTACGTCGTGGCCAGTACCTTCGGGGGCCGTTGGATGGACAGCATCATGCAACGGGAGGCCAAGAAAGCCAAACGATACGACGAAAATGGCAAGCTGATATACCATCCTGAAGACCGCATGCGCGAGAACGCCTGGCTTGGGGCTTTTCTTTACCCTGCCGGGCTGATATGGTATGGCTGGTGTGCGGATCGGGGCGTGTTTTGGCTGGCACCGGTACGTTCCAAGCCCTCAAAGCTGTCGACTACCATGGAAGAATTCTTGTTGTCCCTATATTTACACATTCTGAAGCCTCGCTGACTGTACCGGGCAGATGATTGCGAACTTTTTCTTCGGTGTCGGCTCCATGCTGATCTTCGGTATGGCAACGACGATGTTGACCGAGTTCATGCCCAAGAAGTCATCTGCAGGAGTTGCACTCAACAATTTCATGCGCAACATCTTCTCGTGTGTGGGCTCTGTGGTCACTGCGCCGATCATAGATGCCATCGGCAATGGGTGGCTTTTCACCATCCTTGGACTAGTCGCTTTTGCGAGCAGTTCTGTCCTCTTTGTGATGAGGATCTACGGACCCCGATGGAGGAAATCCATGGACGCGCTCAGAAAATGAAATCTTATATGAGAAGGCTGTGAGCATCTTTTATACTCGACCGAGGGCTGTGGCGTCGCTTTGGGTATCCAAGTCAAGATCTCGGGTTTCTGTCGGCGCACTCTGTCACACACTGACATGAGAATCTGACGTCGAAAGGAGGCTTTCCCAGGTAAATATCACAATGCATGCATTCGATTCTCGATTTGAATCCCTGCGTGAAACTGAGTCTAGGCCCAAACCTCGGCGCCACAGAAAAGGTGATCAGCTTGGCCGAGCACCACAGCATATTCCAGGAAACTTGCACAGCTTCATGATACCCGACGCATGGTCATGTTATTTTTAGAGTTAGTGATGACGGCATACAGATGACTCAAATATATATACTGTCAGACTGTAAGTATACTGTATTGCCTGCTTGTCAATAAAGTAGTCGATGTCATCGGTGTCAAGCATGCAGCTGAACCCGATTGTGATGCCAGTGGCTGCTAGAGGTAGGCGGTGATCATCAACAGCCTCATGTACAGTGCAGTGCATGTTTCATGTGAGCAGCCTAATAGCCTTTCCGAGCTCAGCGACCAAAAGATACCTTATTTTAACACTTCTTGCATGAATGACCGGTAGAGATGTAAGCGCAGTCAGACATTGCCCAGTACTCCCAACCTCTCGGAAACTATTTTCACCATCAACATACTGTAGTTAATGGTAGGGACATATCGGTCTGCCCCAGCCGCTCTGCGTTGCTCCTTGCGAGCCCAAAATAAAAAAAAAAAGAAAAAAAAAAAAAAAAAAAAAAGAGGTCAAAGCTCAGGTAGGACAGCAGCAAGTATGAAGACAAAGCAGCGGCGGAAAATCCGAGGTTGAAATAATGATTTGTCGACAAGAAGCCCGAGAGAAAAAGAGAAGTAGATGTAAACTGAAGCCTTTTGGAAGCATGAACTGATTTTCCATCATCTGTTCGGGTCCCAAGCGGCAACTTGCATAAGTTGCCCAGTGGGAAAAAAAAAAGCCATCTTACTCATAATTCCAGATCATAATCGGCAAGGATTAAATCTCGAGACAATAACTCTGGCCACGCTGAGTACAGTACGTACAGTGTAGTAATTACTGGGGATTTACTACACAGTAACTATGGAAAGAGGCAAAACTCGGGCTCTTCGGCCCGCTGCATTTGAGCTCCCTCCCTCTTGCTTTGTCTTTGTTTGCCTTCCTTGGTGGTGGTGGTGGGATGACCACTGTGCGGCTCAATGGATAGGCTGGCTTATTGGACAATCATACACTTTGTTTCTAAGGGACGGAGAGGGCAATACTACAAACTACGTTTCCTGCAACACGATTTGGTGCAGCGACTCCCTCGTTTGACCACCCCACTCCCTCCCACCCGCCGATTCTCCTCATTAGATCTGGAAGACACTTACCTTTCACAATGAGTGGTATAGTGTGACAGCAGGGAGTCTTTTGGGCCGTGGGTTGGGTGACGCACGCGCAACTGCAGCAGAAGAAGGGGGAAAGAATTGGAACAAACCTGGTTGGCGACTGGAGGAGAGGGAATTGTTTTTTGTTGGCCGCTCTCGCTTGCTGGCAAGCAGAATGAGATCGTGACTTCCTTTACCTCCTCCGATGAGATGCATAGAAAGATCTAGATAGTAGGGGGAGGGAAGGGGGGCGCTTCCTCGTTGCTTCTGAGATTTTGTCCATCATCGCCCATCGGGAGGCCCGATAGTCTTGTCTGATTGGAATTGATATACGTGGAGGACGTGTCAAGAGGGGGAGTGGGAAATTGTTTTGGTATGCACTATGATACTCCTCTCTTTTCTGCTTCGTCCAAGCGCCCTAAGCAGGGACTTGTGTGTAGAAGCTGTCAAATTGGTGATGGAGAGGACGCAATGCTCAGTACTCAGTACTCAGTGCTCAACGCAAGGTGGGCAGCGAAGTCTGCAGCGATACTCTGTAGTTCCCGCAGATTTACGTACGGGGAAAATTTGGTTTCGTTTCGGACTTTTCGAGAGCGAACTTGGATTGAGGCTAGCTTAGTTAGCGAGTTTTCTCTTTGCTCCATCTTCAGCATAGATAATCAATCTTTGAGGTTGTCTGTCTCCTCAATAATTCCAATGGGTCCCCGGGGGGGGGGGGGAGAGGGCGAAGATTAGTGGTGGTGGTGGATGCTATGGCGGCCACTCACAGGCTGCCAAAACAGCAGACCGGCGCGCCTCACTTCGCTGCGGGTGCGACGACGGTCTGGCAGTCCTAGAGCATTATTTTTCCGTTCCTGCTCGTGGGATGGATATTTCTCGGATCAATGGGTGCCAGAATGCTGCAGAATTCGGAGAATAATTGTCAGCTGGAAAAAGAAAAGGGAATATCGAACCCCTGGTCCGTGTCATTTGATGCGGTGCCCTGGAGGTGTGGTTGTGTAGCAAGAAGGATGGAAAGATGGAAAGATGCAGTGGAATTGAACAGCCTGAGGCCGAGGCCAGGCACTGAGCCTAAACAGGCAAGCCCGCTATTCCTCCAGGCTGGTCAGGCAGTCCAGTGACTCGGGATCTGCGGGCGGGTGCAGTAACTACTCGCAACTTAGTAGGTACTGGAGTACTGCTGACTTGGCCGGTGGGGATTCGCATTCAAACGGATCTTCCTCTTCTCTCCCCTTCTTTCACAGCTGCCACAACAATCGCCTCCCCTGAGGTGTTGGCCGTGCCTCTATCAGGTACCAGAGAGCACAGTGCAATGTGGCCTTCACTCATTGTCTCCCAACAGATCCCTCACAGCTGAAATCTCGATGATGATCTCAGATGATGACCGTGATGTGTTCTGCTCATGATCGATCGCCCTCGTCAGATGGCCCAAGTATACCGGGAGATACTCTGTGTACAGTACTCCGTACAGAGTGCACTGATCAGGGAATGGGCCCGGCCATATCGCATGCACCCACTTCACCACCCCCAGTTACAGTACACACAAACTCCCTATCCCATGTCGCCTCGAATTGACATGGGGCCCAGTCTCTAAAGACCCCCCTCTCCACACAAAGAAATGCATCCAATCTATTGCCCTGTCCACGCAATTGTTGGGCAGGAATTCACAACTGCTTCCACAGGCGCTAATGCTAATGCCAGTACGAAGGTCGATATTGGCAGTGGTCGCAGTCAATCAATTTCCGAGTGACCGGAGTCATTCACGTCTTCAGCTATTCTTCGCCCTCGATTGCTTGCCTGCAACGACTTTATGTCGCCTTCATTGGCTGGTCATATCACTTAACCTGGCATCAATCCGTGTTCACCCTGCATCCTGAACTAAAGCTGCCGGTTTGACCCTATGCTTTGTTTTTCCCTTCTCCGCACGGAGAAACTCCCTTCCAACTGCATCAACTTGCAGCTCTGCTTTGATGATCGACCTCAAATGATCATCAACTAAGCGGGTGAGAGAGCAAAGACAAGGCAAAAAGAATCAAGGAAAACGAAAAGGTAAAGAGTTAACCAGGCTCGGGAACAACAACAATCAGAGGGTCCCGATGGAGCTGTGGCACCACCCCCACCACGCTAAGGACTCTCTCAACGAAGCACCACCCATCTCCCATCTCCCGACTGTCCAGCCTGCATTCTATCTGGACTGCACGGCGCACCCACTCCCCGCCACCACTACTGCGACCTTTGCAGATGGCAGCCCTCCGGCTTTCTCCCCCCCCCCCTGCCCCAGTGATGCTTCCGGAAAAAGACCCTCTGTCGATGTCCCCGTCCGCCAGGGCCATTGGGCCCGTGAGACGTGGTCCAATCAGAAGAGATGCCGTTGGGCAGTTCGTTCATGACGTCCCCAGCCCCAAGCCCGAAAAGTATTGCTCAACAATGTTCTATACCACCGGGAAGTGGATTCGCTACGATACGTTGCCTCGCATTGAATCCAGAATGAAGCCCTCATCTCGTTGGCGTACCGGTACATTCGGGCCTTTGTCACTTTGGTCACTCAACTCGCCCTTTCCAGGCCCTCTAACCTAATTCAACAGAGTTTGCTTTTGAGCCTTTGACCTGACATTTTACATATTCTCCCCCTCCGTTTCACATCCTGTGCTTCTTGCATTGCCCCTATTTTTGGTGCTTCGTTCATTCGTCTCTTCCCCCCTTGTCCATTTTCGCCCTATCTAGAACCCGACGGGAGTATGTCATAGTTCTTCAATGAAAATTTATACCCCCTCTCCCTCCCTCACAAAGTCAGCTGGAGTCTAACATAGCTCAGTAACACTCGCCACTGATCCGATGCAATGGGTAAGAAGAAGAATACCAACAACAAAAAGAAGAACAACAACAACAACAAGAACCGACTACCGATAAACGACAATCCAAATTCCAACGAGCAAGCTTCTTCCCTAGCTGAACCCGCCCCGGAGACGGTGGCCGAAGTGATTGGGAATGGAGCAATCATCGATCCAGTATGCTGAGCTTCCCAAATTTGAGTACCATCAGACACTCGAGCGTCATTACCAGACCTTCGACCGTCAAACCATGCAATTTCATTATTATTCTGTTGCTGCTACCTCGTCCGATGATGGTCTGACCCCGGCTAAGGACCAGGAGAACAACAAACCCGTCGATGGCCAACCTTCCGACAGTGCTCCCCAGGAAGAAGGATCTGATAGCACCTCAGCTGATGGTTTATCGTTACCCGATTCTGGAGGTATGTATTGGCCTACCTCTGCCTCACCGTCTCTATCATGTCCCATCAATTGCATTCTTGTTTTACTAAGTATCCATACAGAAACGTCTGAGACAAGCACACCACCTTCCGAGCCCGCTGAAATCGCTGCTGATGCTGTCGACGACACCGGTGCGGCACCCAAAGAGGACAGCGAGACACCTGCTCCCGCGCCAGATGCACCCGCAACGGACGCGGACGATAGCACACCAGCAGGTGAAGACGCCACACCAGCCGATGACGCACCCAAAGAGGACGCACCCGAAGACGTAGAGCCAGAGCCCGCCGCCCCCGACGCAGCCGACAGTCCACCGGCACCAGCGGAGGAGACTACTGAGCCTCCCCCCAGCACTGGTATGCCTACAAAGAAGATCAGTTCACTAAGTCAGCTAACATTACACCTAGAGGAAGACTTTCCGGCCTGCGACCCCTCCGCCGAAGAAGACAAAGTCGAAGCCGAAAAGCAGGCGGTTGAAGCTACCACAGCGGAAGAAGAGACACCAGCAGTCGGTACAGAACACCTCATTGATCTGAACATTGACATTGTTGACTTCGACGCGACAACTGACCCCTATATAGACGGCCCATCGACAGAAGAGGTCCCGCCCGATACGAATGCTGATATTCCCGGTGACGACACTGCAGGTGCGAATGACAATAGTGATGCAATTAATGACACCTCAGCCACAGAAGCCAATTCGGAGGAGGAACCGAAGGAGGCCGAGGCTCAGCCAGAAGCTCCTGCTGACGTGGAGGCACCAGCTGCCCCTGCTGCAGCTGAGGGAGACGCGGAAGCGCCTGCGGCTGACGGTGCCGAGCCTTCAACCACTGAGGCCGTTGTAGGGGAGGCTGCGGAGGAGGCAAAGGCCGAGCCCGTCAAGGAAGAAGCGCTAGAGGCCGCAGAGCAGGCAGGGGAAGGAGCGCCAGCAGAGACAAAAGAGGAGGTCACAGCAGACGCAGCTGCCGACGAACCTGAGGGGGACGCTACAAAGGCAGAAGAATCTGCACCAGTTGAAGCGCCCGAAGAAGCAGGTCCCACTCCAGAAGAGACTGAGTCACCTGCAGCAACCCAAGAACCTGTGGCAGAGGCAGAGGTAGAGGCAGACCCCAGCCCTCCAGCTCCCACTGATGCGCCCGAAGAAGCTGCTTCAGGAGAAGTTGTTGAGGAAAAGGGTACAGGCGAAGACATTGCCGAGGCCGAGGCACCTGCCGCAGAGACCGCGGCCGATGAACCTGCTGCTGATGCAACAAAAGATGCTCAGGATGAAGCACCAGCTACGCCAGGAGAGTCTACAGAAGTGACGGAAGCGGCAGTCGAAGAATCCACGGACGAAAAGCCGGCCGAGGAAACACCCGCGGAGGCAGAGGCGGCGGCCGAAGCTGCACCTACGGAAGACCCTGCAGGTGAAGCTGCGTCGAAAGAGGAGCCTGCTGTTGAGGAGCCTGCAACAGCCGATGACGTGGCTGCCGAAGAAACGGCACCCGTCGAAGATAAGGCTATTGTAGAAGAATCTGCTCCAGCTGACGAGCCCGCTGCTGAGACTCCTGCTGCTGAAGAAGCCCCAACTGCTGAGGAACCGGCTGCGGCTGAAGAACCGACTGCTGTTCCAGAAGAAACTCCTGCCGAAGAAGCTATTGCTAAGGAGGTTGTCGCTGAAGAACCAGCCGCCGAGGAAGCCCCCGCTGCTGAGGAGGCCCCCGCTGCTGAGGAGGCCCCCGCTGCTGAGGAGGCCCCCGCTGCTGAGGAAGCCCCCGCTGCTGAGGAAGCCCCCGCTGCTGAGGAAGCCCCCGCTGCTGAGGAAGCCCCCGCTGCTGAGGAAGCCCCCGCTGCTGAGAAGGCCCCCGCTGCTGAGGAAGCCCCCGCTGCTGAGGAAGCCCCCGCTGCTGAGGAGGCCCCCGCTGCTGAGGAACCAGCTGCTGCTGAAGCTGTCGCCAAGGAGATTGTCGCTGAAGAAGCTCCCGCCGTTGAAGAAGCCCCCGCCGCCGAAGAAACCCCTGCTGCCGAGGAGCCCGCACCGGAAGAACCTGCATCTGCGGATGAACCGATCGTCGTTGAAGAAGCTGTCGCTGAAGAAGTCGAGGCTGAAGAGGTCGAAGCTGAAGAGGTCGAGGCTGAAGAGGTCGAGGCTGAAGAGGTCGTGGTTGAGGAAGTTGTCGAGGAGGCCGTTATCGAGGAAGCTGCTGAAGAGCCTGCAGCAGAAACCGTCACTGAGGAACCTGCGGCTAGTGAAGAGCCCGCTTTAGAGAGATCTATTCCCGCCGACGAGCCCGCCACTCCCGAGGAGCCTGCTCTCGAAGATGCTACTCCCGTTGAAGAGCATGTCGAAGAGCCTACCGCCGTAGAGGAGCCCGCACCTGTTGAGGAGCCTGTCATTGTCGAGGTCAGTCCTGCAGAACATGTATCTGAGGAGCCAGCGCCTACAGAAGATTCCGCTCCTGAGGAACCTGCTCCTGAGGAACCTGCTCCTGCCGAAGAGCCGGCGGCGGAAGAAGTTGCGCCTGTCGAAGAGCCTGCACTTGCGCCCGCTGAAGAATCTGCATTTATCGAAGAACGTGCTCCTGCGGAACCCGATTTGGTCGAACGTTCTCCCTCTGAGCCTGAGCTTCTTGAGCGTTCTCCAGCCGAAGTACCTACTCCTGCTGAAGAGCCTGCTGCATATGAGCCTACCGCAGAAGAGCCAAGTGTCGACAGAGGGGTTCCCGAAGAGGCCCTGGCTACGGATGTGTCGGAGGATATCGACTCTGCCGAACACGATGACGAAGCCTTGGCTGCAGCCGGTGCGGCAGCGGCCGCCCACAGTTCACGAAGGAAGAAGAAGAGGTCTCCCGATTTGGAGCGGGATCGAGACCGAGACCGCTCCAAGAGCTCATCCGAAGGACATCGATCAATGCAGCGGCAGAACAGTCAACGCGGTAGCGGTCTTACTGGTCGATGGGCGGAATCCATGAAGGAAGCCCGACGACAGCATGAAGAAAAGGCCAAACAGAAGGCAGCCTTGGCCGAGAGGGCCGAGAGGGCCGAAAAAGAGCGCCGTGCCCATGAACGCGAGCGTGCAAGACGCGCTGAACGAGAACGGGCTGAACGGCCTGAGAGATCTGAGCGCGTTGAACGACATGAACGACATGAGCGAACTGTACGTACTGAGCGGCCTGAACGGACGGAACGGGCCGAGAGGGAGAGAATTGAGCGAGCTGAGCGAGCTGAAAGGCACGAGAGAGCGGAACGAGCACAGCGACAGGAGCAAGCGGAGCGCGAACGGGCTTTGAGGGCTGAGAGAGTCGAGCGTCACGAGCGGTCTGAGCGATCGGAAAGAATGGAGCGTCGTAAGAGCGAGCAAGACAGCAGCTCAAGCCGACCGCGACACCGCAGCTCAAACCACTCTGAGAGCTACGAGGGCGATCGCAAGAGCAGCTCCTCCTCCTCTCGCGTCATCCCAGAATCCACGACCACGAAGCCTCGCTTCTTCCTCAAATACATGGCCGATGGCTCCGACAACCGACCGCCTCTGATGGTCAACGCTGCCAAAGCGACCGCCAATGTTTACGACCGCTCGCGACGCCCCTCAACCACTCATTCCCACAGTCATCGATCCTCGCAGGAAGGTAGGAGCACGAGTGAGCGCTCCACCGAGTCCTCCCGCCGCGACGACGAAGAGGACCGTGCTCGCCGCGAGGCTCGCCGGGCTCGCAAGCTGGCCGAACAGACCGAGGCGGCGGCGGCGGCGGCGGCAGCGGCACCCCCAGCGAAAGAAGAAACCGAGCGGCGTCATCATCGCGGCGAGCAGCGCGATAGCACCGAGTCGTCTCGCCATCGCCATCACAGACACCGCCGGGACCCCACGCCTCCTCCGAGCGGGGCTTCGAAGATGAAAGGCTTCTTCAAAGCCGCCATCGCTGCACACTGAGTGCATTGCTCTCTTCCCCTCCCCCCTCCCTCCTCCCCTTCCTCCATCGAGTTCATATTCCACGATGATCACCAACCCTCTCATATGTTTAACCCATGCATCTATACATTACTTTCTTGTAACTTCCTCCCCCATATTTGATTGTTTTCTTTTGGGATTCATACATTTTGAGCCTGCATTTATAGGTACAGCATTTGGGAACGGGGGCATCGTGACTTTTTGTGGTTGACTGTTTTTCATCTTCGTGTCTCTTGTATAAGCGAGCTCCCCCCTTTTCGGGTTTCATTTACTCCGATTGTATCTCGATACTTCTACTTTCCACTTTCTGTTCCTCGTCTTTTTGTTAAGACAGGTTGCCTTGTAAATGTCTTTTCTTTTTTCTACCAAAAAAGCAACATTTATCCTTTGAGATCGTTTCAATTTACACTGAGGTTGAGACTCGTAACGAACTGTAGTTATAGATGTACAGTGATACACCTTGAACCCCCTGGATGTACATACGCGACTACAAGATCGGAATCGCCAGCCCATCCCCCCTGAGATCACTTCCACCACTGTAGATCAGCTTTCCTTCATCATAATGGCACCGGATGATCTGGCCCCGACCAAACATGCCCCTCTTCCAGCCGGCCAAGACCTTCACCTCGTGGCCTAGACGCCTCAAGCCCTCGATCGCCGCCTCGGAGATGCCCTCCTCCACGTAGACCGCGCGGTCGACGCTCTTGCCGGGAATGTGCTCGCCCGCCGCGATACAGATGCGCGGGGAATCCAGCGCCGCCTGGGGGTGATAGCCGAAGGCGAGCATGTTGAGCAGCACCTGCACGTGGCCCTGCGGCTGCATGAACCCGCCCATCACGCCGTACACGGAATGCAGCGATCCGTCCGAGACGTTCGTGACCATAGCCGGGATGATGGTGTGGTAGGACCGCTTACGCGGAGCCAGGACGTTCGGGTGGTCGGGGTTGAGCGAGAAGTTGGCCCCGCGGTTCTGGAGAGTGAACCCGCAGCCCTGGGGGATGATGCAGGTGCCGAAGCCGCCGTAGTTGCTGTTGATGAAGGAGATGCCGTTGCCCTCGCTGTCGGTGACAGAGAAGTAGACCGTGTCGCAGTGGTTGTGGGCCGGGCTTCCGTGGTCGATGATGTCGGAGGCCCGGTCCGGATTGAACAATTTGGCCCGCTCGGCGAGATAGGCCTTGGATATGAGGTCCTGCGAAGGGATCTTGTTGGTGTCCGGGTCGGTGACCCACCAGGAGGCGTCGGCGAAGGCGATCCGGAGGGACTCGATGAGCGCGTGAAGGTACTCGGCCGAGTTGTGTTGGGCTTCACTGAAGATGGGGATCTTGCCGGTACGTTCGAGCTCCTCGAGAATGCCCAGGGCCATGAGAGCGACTATGCCCTGGCCGTTCGGTGGGTGCTCCCAGATCTCGACGCCCTCATTGGTTTCGTCGGTGGTGCCGTCAGTCTGCTTGGAGACGATACCCTGTCCCGTGAATTTGAGGGAGATGGCTTTTGTCTCTTGGCTTCCAACCTCGGCGTGGTACTTCAGGTCGTCTAGTGTCATGTAGCCTCCCAGGTCCTGGACGACTTTGACGATCTCTGCGGCAATGCGACCCTCGTAGAAGCCCTTCTTGCCGTGAGCAGCTAGGGAGCGGAATGTTTGTGCGAGGGTTGGGTTGCGCAAGATCTCACCGGGCAGAGGGCTACGGCAGCCGTCTTTAGCCGTGGGGTCGGATTTGAGCATCTCTCTAAAGTTGGGAGAGGCAGCGCGAATTAAGTGCTCGCTTTCATGCCACTATTTGGAGCGGTTAGTCCCATCGGTGCTAGACCAGAGAGCGGGTTGAGCGTATCTCAGAACGTCTCTCGAAGCCGAGATTGCCAAATATGGAGTGACTTACGAAATATGAGGCCAATTCAGACACAGGAAAGCCCTCTTCTCCCAGTTCAATTGCGGGACGCAAAACATCCTCCAAAGTCAACCTCCCACTTCCGAACCTCTCGAATGTGTCCACCCACCCTGCAGCAGCTCCAGGAGTTGTGGCTGCAAGGACACTATCCATGGGAATTTTTCCCGACTCGCCGGGACCTAGCTTGAGATCCTCTCGCACCTTTTCCAACGTCGCGCTCCCAGGATATCTGCCGGAGCCGTTGATGGAATGCACCTTCTTTGTCTTGGCATCGTAGTAGAGGCAGAACATGTCACCTCCGATGCCCGTGGAAGAGGGTTCAGTTATGTTCAATGCAGCGGCTGTGACCAGTTGACTGTGTTAGTAACCGCTTGAGAACGAGGTCATCGACATTCAATAACTGACCTACGGCTATTGCGGCGTCCTGTCTAGAGGATTAGCAGGGGCATGTCTGTTAGAGTTTGCGATGACGAGGACATACAGCAGCGTTGCCGCCATTGCTGAGGATTTTCTGACCTGCAGCTGCAGCTAGAGGTTGCGTGCAAGTCACGATGCCTTTGGTACTATGTACAGTACTTCGTCGACTGGCAAAAGGGGCAAAGTCGGCGTTGAGACGAGAATAGATGGCTTTAGAATTGAGTGGCATTGTGGAGGCGGGGGATTGTTGATTCAATTGAGGGAGCGGGGGGGGAGGGCGGGGAGAGGAAGGGCGGCAGTCGGCTTTGGAGAGGCAGGCGAGGGAAACAAGCGAAGTTATACGGAGGAAAGGAAGAATGGAGAAGCTAGCGGAAGCGATATGACTCCAATATTGGTTGAAGGGCTATTGGTAGATTGGGCCGGCCGAGGATAAGAAGAGAGCGCGACGACGACGATAACTAAAGTTACCCCACTACTGAGTGAGGGGGAATCTCCAACTGTTGCCGGAGGGCGATGGCGTTATCTTATCGGAGGACATCCTTGGGGTATAACTTAGCTGGGAGTGTGGTGAGTGACTTGCAACAGCCATGACTCTTTAAGACTCCGACATTTGTAGTACAGATGCAGTGATGCAGTGGTGCAGCCCGTGGTGCAGTGGTGCAAAGGTGGAGTTATGGATGAGCATCACAGAGAGATTATTTGTCTTGTCTGCAAACAACTGTAGTCTCACGTGATGCCGCATGACCTTCCCGAATGGGTTGTCAGTCGGTCGGGGAGGCAGCGATGATAAGATGGAAAGCGCGAGGAGGATCTGATATGATCGCATCCAATTTCATCTCCGTTGCTCTACCCTGACCCTCTTCTCTCCTCTTTCTTTTCCTTAGACGTTTCATAGAAGGATAAAACCTTCCTCTTCCCCACTGACACTCACTCTCTTTGCGGTTGGCATCCCCATCAGACCCAGAAAAAAGAAAAGAACCGCCACGGCTTCTGGATCGCCGAGACGAACCACTTCTACTATTCAACTATTGCCCAGCTCGTGCTGGCCCCGCGCCGAAGAACGGAGCTGGATCTTTCCCAGCCGTGTCATTCCACTCCCAACATTTATGGATCTCAGAAAATCCCCTTTTAGCTATAACTAGATCGCTCCATCTCTGCCAGACGCAAAGAGTCTACGTATACTTAGCTAACCGGCTGCTCACTGTGCGAATTCTTGTCCGGTGAATAATAGAGCTTGAGCCGTGTGGATCCCCCGCCTCCTTAACCATCCGTTCCTCTGCCGTCATTGTCACAATGGTGGTCTTCGTTGACTACGATCACGACGCGTTCAGCAGGCATACTTTCCCTGGCGTCCCCGATACACTCCTGCATCCTTCCTTAGAACCTCAAAAGCCCACCTTGTCCAAAGTGCTGGCAGTCGGTCCGGATCCATCGACGAACGTGCCTGCGGCTCATGATCAGTCCGCCGTTCCGGCACAGAATCATACAGTCAACCATGAAGATCAACAGCATGCTCTCAACCGGAACGCTTTTTCGGCCGCTCTTAGCTGCTATCCGTATGGAATACTCTTGGGCCAGGCTACTGACGTGTCTGGTTCCTGATGTTGTGCTGACTCACCATCCAGGATCATAAAGGAAATTGCTCGAGCAGTCGATCTGAACACCTTGCATGCCCTCTCCCAAACCTGCCGCCAGTTCCACGCAAATCTGGCCCCATACCGCTCGCTGTTGATCAAACAGACTTTACGCTGCGAGAATGAGTACATCGAGACCGTATCGGACATGCTCGACAGCGGAGCAGCAATTCCCGATAGCGTCAAGTCTGTGCTGCAAATATTGAGTCAGAACGCAAGAGCATCGGGCCGAATAACCACTGGCAAGGTTGCCAAATGCGCTCGAGATATGGTTGCTGAGTGTCGTCGATGCTCTAAAGTGGTGTGCCGGGTATGCTCAGGCCTTCCCGTCTCCAAGTCGAACATTGACGGACTAACGTTAGCTCGCTGCAGAATTGCACCATTAAGCCTCCCTCGAGCAGCATGTATAAGAACCGCATTCGCCGTCTCTGCACAACCTGCCAGACAGCCCCGTTAACTGACTTGATTGATCCATTGTCCTCTTCGTCTCAGTCTGCCATGGCTCACGAATCATCAGCACTAAACCCAAAGCCAACAGCCATTGCGTTTCAACGGACTCCATGCAATTGTTATGAAGCGATATGGCTCTGCCATCAATGTGGTCACCGTGTCCGCAGCAATGACACCACCTACCGTCGCGTCTGGACCTGGCGTACACGTTACAGCACCTATCTTGGTGGTCTGGGCACAGGGATCGGCGAGGGCTGTCAGGGTGTCAAGTGCGGCCGAGGGGAACAATGTCTTGCAGCCAAAGAGATTGAACTCGAGGTTGAATGCGAAGCGGACGAGGCGTCTGGGGGTAGCTCGCCGGATTACAGTCATTACTATGAGCATCGGAATCATGCGCATAGTCCTCCCAGACACACCACCATCGAAAGCTGGGACCACCGCGAGGGGGACGAACCAGGGTATTTCCGGCAGGAGATTATCGGGATCGGGGGGAGGGTGAAGCAGAAGGCGAAGAAGAGAATTATAGTAGGAGCTTGTGTGGCGGAGCATGAAGATGAGAGGGAAACAGGAGAGTATCTCACTAGGGAAGAGAAGGGAGAACATCGTAGTTGGTGCGGCTGGTGTTGGAGAGTCATCCTTGCGAAAGGGGAGATTCAATAGTCCTAAGATCTGGAGTAGCTGAGGGGGGGGGATAACTGTTAGCACAAGTATATCAGTAGGTAGATCGATCGGAATACCACTTCCCAGATGTAGCACACACGTGTCTGCCGCTTAGCCTTCATTCAGTGAGCAGAGCCCGAACCACGTTTTGCTACATGCTTCATGCAAAGCTACCGCGTCCTCGTTTTACAATCCTAGATTTTCCCCGACTGAATCTCTACACCAATGAAGCCTGGGTCAAAGATAGACTGAGAAACGGTTCTTAATCGCCATATCTTAGAGAAATCCACTACTTTACGAACAAGAATATGGTGACTATTCTACTAAACCTGCACAGCCAAACACAGCGTCTGCTGCAAGTTTGAGCCCAGCCAGGACATATCGCTAGAGTCACAAACCCCCTCACCAGAAGTGACCATACAGTCTATCAACTAACTCGCATCGACGAACAGTGATCAAACTCGGCAAACACTGCTTACCAAGAATCTCGATTATACTCTAAGCAAACCAATGTGAAGAAAAGCAATGAGAGATATGTATGTACGATTCCAGATAGGAAAGTCTATAGCTAGATATACAGAGTATTTGTACAGACCGGAGAGAAACAGTTGTCGATGAACAACAGCGAAGCAGAATCAAAGCAGACAAAACAATGCATGTACCCAAAAAAGAAATGCCTGTTCAGGCCCCGAGACCAGAGAGACCCAAACAAATTTCCGAGAACAAGCATCAAACACCGCCGCGCATGTAGACTTGATATAGCATAACTCAATAAGGCATCAGAGAAAAACATTGATCGACATAGGAAATAGATCGGGTACTAGATTGCGGATCACAAAGTAAAAAATAAAGTTCCTTGCACAAAAATGGGTATATAGAGAAGTGGTAAATAAGAAGAAGGGAAAAAAGAAACCATGCATGAGAAAATGGAAATCGAGACAAAGGAGATGCTGTGCAGTAACTTTATAAGCCAACGCGAGTCTAATAAAGGCAGCTCTGATGGTAGGTGGGTGGAGAAGGAGACAGGGTAGCTCCTTCCCGAGTTCGGAGGGTGGGGTGTAGTATTTTGTGTAATCCTCTCTCCGACGAAAGAAACTTTTGGAAGCCTTTGCAGGATGGATGTTTCGAAATTGATGGGGTGGATATTGCTTTTTCCTGTTCCCTCTTTTTTTTGATGTGGTTTTCTGTTTTGCGCGTTCTGTTTTCCCAATTCGAATTGTAAGATTAGCCGCGTCCGCTGCGTCGATTGCGTATTAGACATTTCGATTATAAGCTGAATCGATCTTCCCCTCCAAAGCATGGCTGATAAGCCCCCCCTTAGTGAGGATCCGGCGAGGATGAGGTCTAATGGATCGTGGTCGTTACTTCGTGCTGCTCGTGCGCGCTTTCACATCGTCCATGACTTCCAGCCCATGTTGACGGGGAAGGCGGCGGGTGGTAGCACATGCTCGTCATAACCCAGGCTGTGTGTTGACCAGCTCGGCGAGGGGTAGGCGCATTGAAGGGACTGTCAGGCCGGTGTTAGTCGGAAAGGTTTCGAAGTGAAGCTTGATACAACGTACTGGTTGAAGAAGACCTTCGGTGAGGGGCATGGGCATCATGCTCATGGATGGCAGGCTGATGTCCTGCTGGTCCCAGCAGCCCATCCGCGATTGCATGGAAATAGGCGATGATGTCAAGTCGTGCTCAATGATGCTCTCGGGGTAGGGTTCGACTGTGGTCATAGGCGTGGACACCACGGAAGATCGAGCGTAAGAGTGAAGTGAGAGCGAGCCATCCGAGACGGGAGAGGGGCATGTGTCCGGGGTAGCATAGAAGCGACTGTCCTCGATCGACTCGTGAATGTGAGGGCCCTGGTACAACGGGGTGTGGGGTGCCGACTGCAAATCAACTCCATTCCACATCAAGTTGCAATCGCTGGCGAAATCGGGGTGGATAGCCGGCCCGACGAGCGATCCTACGGACATGGCATTCTGGGGCTGGGAGACAGTGAGATAGGGAGTCGGGTGGGCGTTGACGGGTGCACACTTGGGCACATAGGCCTCGGGCATTACAGAGGTGCGGTTCTGACGCTGCCATTGTGCGGTGTGGTCCATCTGGGCCTCGAGCTCACTGGGGGTTTTGCGTTAGCGGCCAGGCAGTGACATTTAGCATGGAAGGTCGCTCACTGTCTCTCCATGTGGCGGGAAAGCAAGTCGGGACGGTGGAATGCTTTCTTGCAGTTGAGGTGGGCGCATCGAAACAGTGCCTCGGGGTTGTGGTTCAACTCATGCCGTCTACACAAAGCAAATTAGCACGTGAAAGAGCCGAACCGGGTACATTGCCGTCAAGTACCTTCTGTGCTCTGCTCTGGTGAAAACCTTGAGTTTGAATGTTAGTCGAGAACTCTATGTTGACTGATAATTCATGTCTACTGACTTTGTTGCACCCTGGATACTCGCAGGCGTGAACGCGTTTGCCCTTCTTCGCTTTGCTAATGCGATGCGTCGTTGGGGTGTATGTGATGGGGAGAGGAATCTCCGATTGGGCAAGGCTTCGGCGCATGGTGACTGTATGTTGCTGGCCAGCAATTGATATTGTAGTATGAGTGATAGAAGAAGAGTTGGTAGGAAGTGGTTGTTCCTGTTGCTGTTGGTGTTTGAGATGTGTAGGAGTAATTGACTTTATAGAGTCGTGTGGAGAGGTGAGGATAGACAGGAAATCTGCCGGCGGCTGGGTCGAAGATATAGTTCTGGTTCCTGAAGGAGATGATCCCCTGGTCATTCTGTAACAGACCCAGACTTGTCAGGAACGGGAGGTGAGCTATGGGTGTGGAGATTGGGGGTCGTGAGCAAGGTGGGCTGTGATGCAGCTATACTAGCAAAATTGGGGAACGGGCCAGAAGCGTGGGTGAGTGAGATCAGGAGCTGATTGATTTGATGTAGATGATTATGATGATGATGATGATGATGATGATGATGATGATGATGACGGGAAAATGCCTCGCATCTGCAAATCAAGAGGGAGGCAGTGAGATGCGGAATTAGAAAAAGAAAAGTGAAGATCTGAAACGAACTGGTATGGAGAACGAGGAGAAGGAAGGCTTAGAAGAGGGCCGGGAGAAGGGTAGTGAGAATAGTTACATGCAGAGAGATGATGGAGATATAGAAGATTCTCCCAATGCGGCTAAGTCTACCTCTCACCTACCACATACGGTACCGAAAGATCGCCGGGTAACTTGGGGGAGAGGGGAGGGAAAGACAGTTCGGAAGATAAAAGAATAATTCAAATTTAGAAAAAAGAAAACCATAAGATATTTGATGGGAATAAAAAAAGAATTAGAATTAATAAAAAAAATCAAAGCAATATGTGTATACATCCCAAAAATCCAGACCCAAAACGATCGAGAATAATACGAAAATGCGGAAATTCACAAAAATATTTGACCAATGTAACCAGCATCAATGGCTAGTCCCGAGTAGTCAGAGGTAAGCGAGCAGAAAAGCAGTTCTTGATGATCATTCTCTGCAGGGTGATCATACTGGGTTAGCCACCATGGCTATGTTGGCTTGCTGGGGACAGCACGAGTGGGTAACCACTTACGGCGGGATCGACCCATCCTCATTTTCCAAAGTCAAAAGGATCAGATTAATTCCCTAATTCCAATCGAAATACACATGATTAACGGTGCGGGAAACGGGGAAGGAAGGATTGAAACGGGCGACGGGCGACGGGCGATAAGAAAGTGGACTCGATACGACAAGTACTACATAAAAGTAAATGGAGATATCAACTCCAAGAGAAAAGAAGAGAGACAGAATAGTAGGACTTGGGAAGGAAGGCAATGTACTGGACAATACGGAGAATAATCAACATCACTGCAGAGAATTCGAAAAAAAAAAGTTTAAAAAAAAAGGGAAAAAAAAAGAACTACTGAATAGTTGACAAATAATATGTATTGTCTCATCTGCCGTTAGTTAGTCATGACAACAACAACAGCAAATTGCAGCCGGTAACAGACCAACACCTTCCAAGTCTGCGGCTGAGGCGCACTGCAGGGATTGGGAGAGAAGAGAGGACGAGGATAGGGAGGGAAAAAAAGGAAAGGGGGGACAAATAGACCATGCCATCATGGGATAAATTACGACGCTGGTATGCAGCTCGTACCACACACCCACCACCGCCCGGTCTACAGCGGTTCATTTCCGTCAATCAATTACTTGGTGGAAGTTGCACCTGTTGGCTCGTCCCCATCTCCCTCCATTGTCATCACCATCCTCATCGTCTCCCGCCGCCACGAGGCGACGGGGAGGAGAGAGGGGAGGGGGGAAAGTGGGGGGGAGGTGAGGATCCAGGGAAAAACAGACCTTCCGATCGAGAATTGCCTGGATGGATCATGGATGGATGGGCCAATCTATCTCCCGGAAGAGGAAGGATATAGTTCACAGAATAATATTCCTACTCGCAGAATGCGGGCAATAGGATAATAAAAGACATATTAAACATCAATCAATATGAACTTCAAGCCATCTATCCACCCACCCCTCATGCCATACAGGACTTCGGGTTGATTAACCGGGCCTCATGTCTTTGCTGCCAACCCACGCGGCTCTGCGCCTGTGTGTCTACCTCTAGATCGAAAGGTACAGTACAGTAAGTACTAAGTACAGTACTAATTCTATGCAGAGAACTGCAATGCTGAATAATGGGTGGTTTAGGGCTTACGACCATGTGAATGTCTCGCGCGTGACAGGGGTCTCCAGCGGATCAAACTGATCTTAGCGGCTAGGAGAGGTCAGGATATCGACGATAAGGGGCAAAATTCTTGCAAGATCAATGGAGGAGGGGGGGGGAAGGGTTGTTGGGTGGTGGTTGTTAGGAGAGTGGGAGCTGAAGAAGAGACAGTCACAGAAATCCAATCAACAGTTAGGAAGAATGTTGGGGATTTGAGTCTTCTCATTGGTGTGTTCGCGTGAACTAGTGTTAAGCGCCTCTTAGGTACAGTACTTTTACTGTCATGGCTGAGGTTGGGGAGGGGGTGAGAAGAGATATCTCCACTTTTACCCCCCTCTGCTTAGCGTGCTGAATGGGAAACGACTCATGGAGGCTCTCGCTCATTGTCCGGCCCTCCCCGTAGCAATCAGGTTCAGGCTTTCCGTCCAAGCCTCAGGGGCTCCATCATGAAGACTGGAGAATGGAGATTGCTATCCGCCCTAGGCTAAATGACTGAGGGTACCAGGATGGTCGATTAGACTAGACGACTCCATAGTAGAGCTAAGGTCAAGACTCAAAAGGCCTAGAAACGTAGGTAAACAGAAGCTCCACGGACCACTCCAGCCAAGATGGATCCCCCCATCCCGAGCCAACCAATTGAACCAAGTGGAGCCACTACTATCCACTCACCTCATTTGGGAGTTTATATCCAGTCACTGCAATTAAGCGGCTCTAGCATTCGCCCACTGGCCTGCTTTCCATTCAGACTGCGATTGGGCCGAGAAGGCCTGGGTAAAGGGCTTGCATGGCTACATGAATCAACTACGCACTGTAGAATACTCTGGTTCTTCCAAGCAACCCCATTGCTGACCATAGAAATTGCGGCATCGTGTTAAAGAAACAGGTTGACCATGGTTATTTACAGTACCAGAAGAGCCTCCAGACTGCCAGTGGCGGCCTGCGGGTCCCTCTTGATTGCTTCTTACTGGCGTAGGGTCGGATTAGCCCGCTAGTCGTCCAAGCAAAACTCAGGGTTTACCGCTGTCATAGCATAGGCGGTCGTTGGCTTGAGTCAAAATGTCCTCTTCTGGGTTAATGAGGTTAATGGATTTTGTCCGCCATAAGACCATATCAAGTAAAAGAAGAATCCTTGACGACCCTTGGCACCGTTGAATGTGTCATGATTGCAAGGGCTGCGAAGGAGCGATGGAGAACCACCCGTTCGGGCATATAGAAACATCCATTATAGAGGGGATCAGGCAAGGGAGAAAGACCAGCTGAGGTCACACAACCACGTGTAGGACGATCGGCGTGTTTCCGCCGGTTACCTTATATTGCTGCCCGTTATGGAAGTATTATCTGCCAAGCAAGATTTCATGGTCTCTGTTAAGGGGGAGGGGGGGCACGACCACACACGCCTTCGTCACGTCCTGTGATTCGATGAAACCTGTGGTCAGAGCCCTTATCGGGGCCTGCAGACAACGGGAGGAAGACTTAGCAACTGGAGTCTGAAGAATCATTGTTACGGCGGCGATAATTACCATACAAGCTGGACGCCTGACGAAGAATAGAGTTCCTTAGACTGCTCCCTGAATAGATAGGATATTCGGTCTGGAAGTACTGCAAATCGACCAAGGTGGTCTGTGTGAACTGATTCAGTTTCAACATCATCACGCAGCAGAGACCCTGGGTGGTAATGACTCGATACAGGAAATCGTGTAAAAGTCAGCAGCCCCATCTTAGTCTGATTCTGTTTCTAGGGGGTCAGGGTATGTGAGAATCCGGAATGTCAATCGTTCGACGCTTCGATACTTGGAGACTACCACGGCAAGCACTTCATAACAATGTGGTAGGCACATTCATGCACAGTTACACCGGAGGTAGGTGGCTTAGTAGCGTCGAAGTATACAATGACATCTAGCGTGGCGACGAGGGCGTCCAGCCCTGTAGCCAGTGGGGCATGCTTGTAGGCTCATCACTATCCCTTTCCTTTTCCCCTCAAGGAAATGATGCGCTCAACGTGAGCATGGACAGCAACCCCTGCCACCCTCTGGTCTTTGTGAATTCAACTGACCTTCTAGCTTGTTTCATAGTGAAAATCGACTGCACGCACCTCGTACCGCCCGATTGAGCCTTGTGCTTCCAGAACAATGTGCTTACTCTTGGTTGCTGTACGCCTCAGGCTAAATGATTAGTCGACGACAAGGTGCATTCTCTTCCCTGACCAACGACACCCCGGGTCAGATAACAAGCACAAAGCACCACGAACGAATGATTGAAACAATGATTATCAGCGGTGACACCAGAGATTCGGTACTAGACCTGAAACGACGGGGATCGATCTTCCGGGAAGCGGGGAAGGCATGAGAATCACTAAGGAATCATCGAAAGACACGGATCCCTATGTTCCTGGCGACCGTGTTGGTAAGGACCCGTCAATGGTACGACAGTACTTCGTCGTTGCTATGCGGCTGCCACACTACATTGCTCCATAGTAAGCACCAGTCGGCCAACCAACTTACCAAGTTATCCATAATTGGCGGCGGGAATGTCATGTCCCAGCAAAGACGGGATTCAGTGGTGGTGGTGGTGGTGGTGCTGCTGCTGCTGCTGCTCAATGAGAGCCGCTGTTGTTTCCGAGATTGACTCGATCTTACAGTAGACTGCATTAGTTCGGAATTGGGAAGAGAAATCACCCTGAGTAGAGAGGGGACTCGGTACGTGGTTGACAAATACGTCGCATGAAAACGGAGAATGTAGCTAACCGATCAAGGAGGCGGCTTAGCTACTCCGTACCTAGCACCTAGTAGAAACCTGATTCAATGGGAGAGTGCCTCAGGCCCCGGAACTTGGGGGAACCGAGTGCATGGGTATGACACCATCATCCAGCCATTTCATAACTGCTCCAAGAGATAATAGGTAATCTTTCTGTCCGCGCTAGAAAGTCTTCTTCACGTGGCGGGGACCCCATGCCGGGATCACGATCCTTCAAGGCGTGGCAATGGGGCCCAGGAGAGGGGAATCACACCAGTGAGGAGGAGTTAGAAGACGCTAAGTATTATTGTGTCTGTCTGGATGTAGTCATATGTATGCCCTCCTTTTCTACTTCTCTTCTTGTCGCCTTCTCCCGGGTTTTCAACTAATGCATCCCGTGTTTAGAAGTCTGACTTTGGGGCTGCGCAGCCCGGGTTCCTACACCACAACTGCAAAGTAAGATGGTTGACGGTAGAATATGTCTTGTGCTGTCCATGCAGCGACGGTGCCAAGAAGTCGAAGCAGGCTTGACACTAATTATAACCATAGGCATAGAGCATCGTGCTCACTGGGCGGCACATCCCGGTCCTGTGCGGCACAAAAAGGTAGTGGTGGTCAGCAACAACGTGGCCTTCCTGTGGGGAAACAAGGAGGGACAAGAACGACTGGCCTAGGTGTAGAGGAGGGTTGCATCGGAATTCAAAGGTACGAGTAATCAAAGTATGATTGAAAGGTCTCAGAACCCACCTAATTAACTTGACTGCAGAGGGTCAGTATTACGGCCGAGTTTGTCCTAGCTTTTAATGCTTCATTCCTCAATAAAGATCTGCCTCGTAATTTGACGATATATCGTTTGCTAATATAATGGATTGGATTGATCGATTAGCTTACTCCGTAGGTGGTAAGAATAATGGTGAAGACGGGTACTGTACGTATTATTGACTCGGAGGCCACGGCCGAGATGGACGTCAGTGGGTGTTACCGGACTAACCACATTCTGTCCTTAGAACTCCACGTACTAAGCGGTAATCTCCTTCCCCCCTTCCACCGATTGATCGAGGCCCTGTCATGGGCGGGCAGTCATGGCAGTGTCATGTGCCTTTCTGTTGACTACACTCAACCAGGCAATAGATTGGTTGCTCACGGCCCTAGTCCCAGGCTAAACCGGCCCGGAACGTTGTGGTGTAATGGATTCAAACGCCGCGGGCAACACCTCACTTTGTTCACTTACACCAACACTAACAGTCTAACCCCCCTTCGCGAGTCATTCCTTTTGCAGAAGTCCTAGCGAGAACATTGACTGGCCAATCGTTGCAGACACTGAAACAGTGAGACTGTAAGACAACTGGAACTCCCTTGCACACGTGCAACCTGCAAGCCATTGTTGGACTAACTTACAACTTACTACTCAGGGCATCTCGATATATTTCCGAGTCGAGTCTGGTGAACGTGACCGTGAACCACATGTGAATGGAATGATTGGATGCATGGATGCATGGAGAGTGGACGATGACGGGAGGTTCTCAACTATTGCCTAATCAGGAACACTTCTCGAGCACCGTGGACCGTGGACCTGCAGTGGTGGGCTTGAGTTGCTCAGTTGGTTACTAGCTACTAAGTTAGTTAGTAGCTACAGCCTGGAGCCTACTGGGGCCTGGAGAATAAGGAAAATAGGAAAATGGATCGGAGGCTCGGCAGGGCAGTGGGCTCCGGCAGCGGCGGGGGTCCTCGTACCGCCGGAGCCAGAAACTGCCCCGGTATCCGCCATGCCCGTGGCCTTGTT